CGGCACGAACACTTGATTTCACCGTTTTCAAAATCAACCTTCAACACCCTACTATCCAACCTTGTAAGGTCATCCTCCAATATGAAGACATCAAACAGTCCTACATGTCCTTCTGGTTCTATCTCCGTATTGGAAAAGATATTATACGCAAGGGATTCCTTGTACTGATCCAGGAAAAACTTGAATATCTTCGGCGTATACACATTAGCAACTTGCTTCACAATAGGGCTAGTAGAAAACCGAGAATCAGCCAACCTAGATAACGCATAGTACTCTTCTTGTTCTTCAGCATCCCTCTTATTATCAAGCATCCTCTCAAAGTGCACAAAGAACCTACTAACGCTAAACTCTGACTGCAAGTAATGTCGAATATTACTATTGCAGCACTCACTTAGCTGGGTACTCTTCATTCCCGCACCAAAATGACAATTCACCCAGGCTGAAGACCACTTCGTCCTGACTTTGTAAATGCCCTGTAACCAACTGTGTCCCAAAGGTCCCTTCCCAGGAAAACACTTCTCAATCATCTTCTTCCAATTATACTCAAAATCATCCTCATCATCAGCATTATACATCAAATAACTAAGCTCACGAAGGAAATCAGAGTCACACAAACTTCCCAGATTAACAACTGCATTCTGAGCAATATGCCATGTACACAACCCATGAAAACAATCTGGGAAAACAGACCTTATACCAGCAGCAATTGCAGCAGCCTGGTCAGTAAACATTGATAACGGTCTCACACCTCCCATGCATTTCAAAAACTGATCGAAAAGCCATTCAAATGTTGCTGTTGTTTCATCATAGAGAAGAGCAGCCGCAAAGACAGTCAGTTGGTGATGATTGTTGAAACCAACAAACAAAGCTACATAAACATAACAAAATGTGAGTAAAAACAATTCTACCAACACATACCATGTGGTAAAAGGTACGAATAACAATAATACCAACCCATACCATATGGTAAAGACTCATACCATGTGGTAAAGACTTCTAAGAACAAAAAAAAAAAATCCACACCAGACTACCATATAGTACACACTTCTAACAACGCAAAAAACACCACAAATAACCTTGTTACCAACCCATACCATATGGTAAAAGACTTTTAAGCACAAAAACCACCTCAAATAACCTTGTTACCAACACATACCATATGGTAAAGTACTTTTAAGAACAAAAACCACCTCAAATAACCTTGTTACCAACACATACCATATGGTAAAAGACTTTTAAGCACAAAAACCACCTCAAATAACCTTGTTACCAACACATACCATATGGTAAAATACATTTAAGAACAAAAAAAAAACATGATACAGAATGATAATAATAATACTCATACAAACTAACAAACACAATAATAAACAACAAACTAGAAAACATACCTAGTGGCCGATACTCTTTGTTAGTCCGGTAAGTAGTATCAAAACTAATTGAATCACCAAAATAATGATAATCCATCCTCATCTTCCCATCTGCCCAAAAGATACTAGCAATGTTCTCTTCAACATCAACCTCCACCTCATGAAAGAACCCAGGATCCAGCTGTGCTTGACGTCTAAAGTATTCAAGCAATGCAGTCGCATCACCATACTCCATTGATGACGTCCTAACCGTTCGCAGATGGTTCTTCAAATCATTCTTTGTGAACCCAACAAACTTCCGACCACCACCAGCCCTACTAATTGCATTATACGAAGAAGTCACACCAATACCAGCAGCATCATTCACCTCTGCCAGCATCTTATACACAGGAGCCATTCGTCTGCTGGATCTCACATAGTGACGCAGAGACTCAGGAATCATGTCATGGTTGTGCACATTATACCAACGATAGATCTTGTAGCATTTAAACTCTTTAAACCACCTCAGTCGTATATAAGCACCATTACATCCACCCCTGAGTTCTGGAACATTACGAACACGAACTGTCGTATCAACAACACCTGCATTATCAGGGTTATTCTCGCTACCTCTTTTCCAACCTTCCTTATTGCAACAATACTTGATATAATATACAGCTGAAGAACCACCATTGAGTTTCGGACACGCTGATTGGTTATAAATCCTCACACCAAAACCTTCATGATTCCCATAATCAACATAAAAATTATATGCATCATCTGGTGTATTGAACTCTAAGTCCTTCCAAGAATCACGAACAGTAGGATCTATACCATTGAAACCTACAAACATTATGAAACAACATATTAAATGGATTCCACACCACAACAGTATGAAAAATCAATGTATACCAATAATTACAGCCATAATACAAGAGTTACCACCATAGTATGGCATGGTAAAATCAATTATCACACAGAACCCACACATTTAACTTCCTAATTACCACATTTTACCACATGGTAATGTACTGTAAAATCAATTACCACATGATAAGGCATGGTAAAATCAAATTACCACCCTATACCATATGGTATGGCATGGTAAAATCAAACTACCACACTATACAACATGGTATGGCATGGTAAAATCAAATTACCACACTATACCATATGATATGGCATGGTAAAATCAACTATCACACAGAATCCTCAAGTTTAACTTCCTAATTACCACATTTTACCACATGGTAATCTACTGTAAAATCAATTACCACATGATAAGGCATGGTAAAATCAAATTACCACACTATACCATATGGTATGGCATGGTAAAATCAACTATCACACAGAATCCTCAAGTTTAACTTCCTAATTACCACATTTTACCACATGGTAATCTACTGTAAAATCAATTACCACATGATAAGGCATGGTAAAATCAAATTACCACACTATACCATATGGTATGGCATGGTAAAATCAATTATCACACAGAAACATCACATTTAACTTCCTAATTACCACATTTTACCACATGGTAATGTACTATAAAATCAATTACCACATGATAAGGCATAGTAAAATCAAATTACGACACTATACAAACTTCAATAAACAAACAAATTTGCATATCTTACCTCCTGATTCACCAGAGTTAGCTGAATGATCAAATCCAAGATCAATAGATGAAGAAGCAGTTCCAACAGCACTAGATGAAGAACCAGATCCTACAACGCTGGTTGAAGAACCAGATCTATCAATTGGAACAACATCGCCACAATTTACGTTACTCATCTCACCAGAATACTGCCAAAACACCAAAACACAAAGAACATAACACATGAACAAGCTCGATTAGCTAAACATAAACAAGCTCGACTAGCAGCAATCAAAAACCTCCAACGAAACCAGAGATCAACAGAAAACTCGATTAGCTAAACAGAAAGAATCAAAAAAACTAATATCTAACCTCGTCGTCGATCAATTATGGAGAATCAGAAAAGATTCGCCGTCCCCTGTTTCGCAGCCGCTGCTCGCAATTTCTCTCTACAAAAACCGAATCCAACTCGCGCACACGTCGATCAATTATGGAGAATCAGAAAGCTCGATTCAAAGCTGCTGCTCGCAGTTTCTATCGCCGTCGATCAACAATGGAGAATCGCCGTCCTTATTTCTCAGCTGCTGCTCCCCCTGCTCGTAGTTTCTCTCTCCAAAATCCGAATCCAACTCGCGCACAGAAAGATTTGCAACGGACAAAGAGGGAAAGTCATTTAATTCAAAAATAAAATGTCGGACAAAAATGCCCCTGACCGTGGACAAAAAACCCCGCATCAATCACAGCCACAAGATCCGTCCCGCCAAGATCGACGGTCCCTATGTGGTTACTCACGGGTGAGTAACAAAGGGTTACTCACCCTATCCTAAGCCAAGGGAGAGTTGAGGCGGGCCAAAAAAAATTAAAATGGGCAAATATCCATTAGCAAGCCCAAAAGAGTTTCGAAACCCTTTGTCCTCTCTCTGTGCCTGCCGCCTCCATTCTTCTTCTTCACTTTCGTCGTCCATGACAAGACAGCGGCAGCGGAACGACGAGCAGAGGTTGCACGACGGGTGCGGAAAGGACATGACAGGTGATGATCGGTGCCGAGTCAACCAAAATTGACTTGGATGCCGGATTTAATGCCACCTGAGATGGGGAAAAAGATGGCACCGTGGCTTGATGGAGACTATGGCGTGAACAACGATGACGACCTGGATGTTGATGGCGGATCTAAAGATCTCGTCTTGCCGGCGACGACAACGACACATGGTCGGAGGCCGGAGTGGACATCCGCGCTCCTATAGACGAGGAAGAAAGACGCGACGACGGGATGGACTTCGTCGTCAGTACGGGGTCGGCATTGGAGACCGGAGTGGACGTCGGTTCTCCTGGCGACTGGGAAGGAAGATGCGACGGCGGGAAGGACTTCACCGTTGCTCTTTCGAAAGCATAGACTTCTTCTTTGCTGAAGACGATGAGCCGATGCTATGGATGATGAGAGCACTGCTTTGAACAGGACGACGACTCTTCTTATCCAGCAGGGCGGGACTTGTGAGGACGCTGATATTGAGGCGACGGCACAGAAAAAAAATCAAGTCATGAACCAGCCGGATGGACATCGGCATGATCTTCTGGCAACGAGGAAGGAAGCCGGAGTGGACATCGGCTTCTTTCGGAGAATAGGACAATGACACCAAGGCCGGATGGACATCGGCAGGTGACGAGGAAGGAAGCCGGAGTGGACGTCGGCCTTTTTTTTTAGATGCGGCCGCGGAGATGCAACAGATGCTGACTGGCGGAAGCTCAAAACCCTAGATAAGGATCGAGTTTTGCTCTGATACCATGTAGAATTTGATGTTGCGGAAGATGAAATAACAAGAACACGAGATTTACGTGGTATCCTCGATCGATTGATTGATCGAGACTAATCCACGGTGAGCTCATAAGAGCTCACGACTGATCTCTTATTAGGATTACATCTTGACGGCTTGCTTACGACAATCTCGTAGCTAAGCTTATATAGAGAAAGACTTAGGGTTAAAACCCTAATCCAACAAATAAGATGAGGCCCAACAAGGCCCAATACTAACACGGTTTAAGTAACCGCAACAAGCACAACTCACTAATCATGGATACCGGCTGCAGGCAACCGCGATTCCGACTACCTACTTTTCCGCTCCCAGTTTCCGTGGCGGGTTCTCAATATGTCCTCCCAATTCCCCGCCAAGAACCCTGGAGAACGGGCAATGATTCCAGGTGTTGCAGAGGGATTAAAATGGCTGGTCGCAGAAGTGAAAGGATCGTGTGTAGCGGATGGTTCCTGCCCGTGGATGCATGGGCGCCAACCATTGATTCACAGAGCATTGCCCCTCAGCTCTTCGCACTCTCTTTGTTTCCTTAAAGATTTGTAGCGGATGGTTCCTTACATTGGCTTCTTGTACTTCATCACCAAATCCAAGACTGCTCCAGGCCTTACCCTCTTCGGATTCTACTTCTTGCTCGCCTTTGTGGGCGCTACAAGTTAGTTCTTTAAATACAACTATTTACTACTTCTTCAATTTCATTTTAAGCACTTTCGGTTGATTTTAGGAAGATTTTCTGATTCACAATCTGAGGTTGTTCACGGTTTCTTAGCTGTGGAAATACAGACCAAACAACGAATGAAGTGATTGGATGAAGAAAAAAGAGCGTTTTTCAATCTTGTTAGGTATTAATGTTTAACCCAGAACTGATGGTTTTTTTCCTTCTACCTTTTATTCCTTCGTGGATTCTGAATGATGGATGATTGTGCAGTTCCAGCTGGAATTTATGGTAACCTTTCACTGAATTCTCTCATTCAATTCAATTGGTTGTTTACTTGTGTATGATGCCTGATCTCTAGCTGATGTCCGGATACTGGTTTGTTTGAGACAGCAAAAGTGCAGTATGGAACTTCCTTGTCTAATGTGGATTGGTTGCATGGTGGAGCTGAATCGCTTCTCACCTTAACAAACATATTCATCGTCCTGGGCTTGAGGCAAGCCCTTAGGAAAGGGAGCGAATCAGATAAGAAGGGCGATTGAAGTCCTGGTTCATTGATCAAAGAGGAAAACAGGACCTCTGACTAGCAGCTTGATGCATGTATTTGCTCTTCTTGTGCACGCTTTATTACAATTATTGCAATGGCACATCACCAGATTAGCATTGCTTAGTTTGGAGGTACCAAGAATGTCCATATATGATCGAAATTAAGAGTATGTGTTCATCTGCTACCTACTCTACTGCTCAAGCATTAAAGAAATTTACTGCCATTGGGTATGTTGTATATCTCTCTTCTTGGCACCTCTAAAAGTGGTTTCTTCTTACTACATATGCTCTCAGATTGAAGGTGAAGGCTAAGATTCTTGTCTTGGTTCTAATCCCATCTGCTGGTGGAGCTTGTAACATCTAAGCTATGAAAGGCTTCTTCAGTCATGTTATTACACAGTACTTGTAATTCAACACTAGCCAATTACTGCTGTTATTGCTAAATCAAAACTCAGCTTCAAGAGTCATGGCTAGTCTGCTTTGCACACACTTTTTTCTCTCCCTGTCTTTATGTCACAATCTAACGATCAATCTGCAACTGAATTTGTGTTCATTTTTATCGTCCCTGAATGAACATAGTAAGAGAGTCAAGAGAAAAATCCCGGAGCATACGAGAAGTTTGGAACCAGTTCGAAGGACTCAAGATGGAAATCCAAGTCCAGCATTGGAGAACTGGTAGCTGAAGTCTGAGCTGAGAGTATCTCAGCCAAATCTGAATCTGAATGCTGAAAAGTATGTGTCCCTCCAAAGCTGTTCACAAATGGAGAAACATGATTGTAGTTTGGCTCTGGTGTTGCTGGTGAGAGAAACGACTGGGAGAAGTTGCTGTTTTGACATTCATATGTGGATGGAAAAGTGAAAGGCACTGTCTCTCTCTTGGCCAAATCCTGAGTATCAACTTTCAGACCCTTCTGCAGGTTAAGCAAAGCCTCCCCAGGCGGCGGCTGCTGTTGATTGCTGCTGCTGAAGTTGTGCTTGATCTGTTCTTGTTTCTCTGGAGATGCTGGTGGTGGTGTTACAACTGTTTGCTGGTGGCCAAAGGAACAACTGTGTGTTCCCCTATATGTGACCTCAAAGATGGTAGGATCTTCATCTGATCTCTGAACTTGCTTTATAGCCCAGCAGTTTTGTGTGTTCCTGTATGTGCACCTATAATAGCTTCTGCGAAGACCAAACAAAACTCTTGTAAGTTTTCACTCTTTTTTTTTTTTAATTCTTTTGGTAAATGTTAAACTATGACGCCTCTTGTACCTTTTTATGAAAGGAGTTTAGATGGGTATTGAACATTTCAACATTTGACTTTTCAAAAAGGGAGAGGGTTGACAGGTTAGACCCATATAGACCACTTGATAGGTTTTAATTACATAAATGATCACCTTTTTGTAAACAATGAGAGCAATTCGTGCGTATCTTAATTTGAGTAGCATGACAAACTAACGTATTCAATCTGTCAACATGAAGTGACTGCTTTGTTAATAATCGCTGAACCGAAGTTGCTAATTAATCCGTTCTCTTTTCTTCTCCTATTGACGTTGGTTTGTTTGTTGTGCCTTGTGTGGATCTAACACAAGCCAACCGTGTGTCTTGTTGGAAAAGGTAGTTTTTGTTAGTTTTAGTAGGGTAACCTTTTGGGAACTTGCGGATATAGAGTCCGTAAACTGTATGACAGTAGTAAGTATACCTGGGATATTTGGCTCCTAGAATATCTTTCTGGCCATACTTCCTCCAACTATAGCCATCATCAATTGGACCTTCCAATCCATTCTCAGAGTTCACTCTAACTTGATCCGTCCATCTGGGCATTGTCTTTCTGCAGGGAAACAACTAGCACTATTAGCCACCACCAAACATTCAGCTTCTGCAGAACTTTAAGGCCTAGAAGAAGCAAGGAACTCACCTCTTCTTGCAGGCATCAATGGGGGCTTGATTATCCTTGATTCCATCAAAATCCTCGCTCCTAGGACTTCCATTCATAGACAATGGAGATTCAGGAACCCCCGAACCAGAACCAGAACCAGTAGCTGCAGCAGCTACTGTTGCAGTAACAGCAGCAGCTTGCGGAGGTTGCTGTCCAACTGGTCCACTCCAATTGAGAATCAGCAGAGCCTTCTCATAAGAAGACAAGATCCTCTGCACTAAACTCTCTGCATTCTCAACTGAAGGTGTCCCCTTGAGATGAAAGCTCAGCTGTCTTGCAACTTCCATCCCTTGGATTAGCTCATTCACCAGTGCTCTCTGCTCCCAGCTCCACCCTCCTCCCTCCATTGATCTTTTTTTTCCCCGGCAACCCAATTTCTTACGAACCAGTCAATCTCCAACAGAAACAAATAAACAAGCAGCAGCTTCAGCAGCCTTCGAGCATAATCTAGAGTTCAGCCACTTGGTTCATCGGAAGGCAAAGCTTCAAGCTTTTGCAGAATGCTGTTGTCAGAGAATTGGGATGACCAGAGTTGGTAATACGATTCAGGAAGAGTGCCCAATACCATGGAAGTAACTTGAGTGAGAAGTAAGAACCAGAAAACAGCAATGGGTAGCAGAAAGTTTGAATCTTTTTTTGTTTCTGCTTGGTGGGTTTGGGAGATGAGAAGGGATCCATGAGCTATATATACATATACACATGGGGTTACTGTTGGAAGTTTGAATATTTGACTGTGGAGAGAAACCGAGTTATTTTATTCAATTCTCGGACTAGTCTTTGATAACCCAGAAGGGGATATTGAAGAACTTGTCTGAGTGTGTATGTGGTAGTGGTAGTGGTAGAGGAGAGAGATTTGGAGGATTTGGAAGGTCCAAAGTGAAAGAAGTGCTGACCAATTCAAAACCCTTGCAGCACTTCAAGATTGGAGAAAATTGGAGTCTTCTTCCTTTTGATTCCTTTGGTTTTTCTGGTTGGTTTCCTTATTTGTTAGTTGGGAGGGTGAATGAATGCTTGAAGCTTGGACTTGAAAGGTAGATAAGGACTAAATAGAGTAGTAAAGGGGAGAAAGAAAAGTGGGGTTTATGAGAAAATTCAAACCAAGATTACGCGTTGGCATAGTTTTATAGTTTATGTGGGTGTGATTGGGATTACAATCACATGGGTTTTTGTGGATTAAGAATTGATCAACTGCTCTAATCTTTTGTTTGCTTCTAACAAACTTCAGTCTTTGTAGTTAATGAACTCAGTGGTTCTCAATGCTTTATTGGGAAACTGAGTTTTTAGATGAAGTACGATGGGCTAACAATAGCAATAAATAATGATATTAGGCATTAGCCCACTTATTTCGATCGGAGATGGGCTAACAATAGCAATAAATAATGATATTAGGCATTAGCCCACTTATTCCGATTGGAGAAAACCAACATTTTTATGTGTTTATTAAAAATGAGACAATTTGATTAATTATTTCATTTTATGTAATAAGTCAATTCGTATTATCTGTCTCACTTCCAAACAATTAGAATTTACTCAAAACATATCAATTCAAAATTTCTTAGCTCAGGTACAATTATTTCTAAAAGAGACCATTAGGTCAAATTAATTCATTACAGTTTCTTATCCAAACAACCCCTATATATAGCAAGTTTTATTTAGCATTCATATATGTTTGTTGAAAGATAGTTGGAGAACTAATTCTAGGAAAGTCTTAGGTAAAATATTTTCAGTGGGCATTGATCAATGTATAAAGGTGTGATTTAGAATTCAGATTGTCTGAATCTAGAAGAGTACACATCAGCCACTAATGAGTGCGAGGGGTCAGTGGTCGTCTTCTGGAATAATTGACAGGAGAAATGGTCAAATTTCGGCCGAACCAATCAAGTCTAGGCTGGGCCAACAACCAAAGTGGCCCACTTAAGGGTCTGAAACGTTGGACCTGGAGGACACAAATTGCTTAGCGGGCCTGAACTGATCCTAGAACTCCATAGACAAGGAGATCAATGTGCTGCAACTAAGGTTGTCAAACCGCGTGTTGACCCGGACCCGGTTGAGCTAGTGGATCAAGGGTTAATGGGTCACCCATTTTAGTTCGGTTTAGCCCGGAAATAAGGAAATCGTCATTATATTGTACTTATCCTGATAAATTATATCAAATCTCATCTAACATATGAGTTATAACATATAATATTACACCAAAATAACATTTCGTACTTAGATTCAACATATAGTGAAAATTCACACACACTTATATAACATTAATATTCAAATGTTCAACTTAGGATTCCAAAGATTGAGTTAGGCGAAAAGAAAAATAGGAAAATAGGCGCATTTTGCAAAACAAAGAAAAAAATGACACAATTTGACCTCCAACCCGGTACCTTGTAGCGGTCGACCCGACGGGTGCGTGCGGCCCGTTTTTCTCACCGGGTCAGGGTCAAAGTGGGTCAACCCGCGGGTTGACAACCTTACCTGCAGCACATTGATCTCCATTGTGTGTATCTGTATCATTGAAATTTCTTAGTAAAATTTTATTTTTTCATGAATAGTTGATACTTAAATTTTAATTTTTGGTATTTGAAAATCAAAATTTGTTAATATTAGTTTGTTCATGTGAACTTCTATAAACTATTAACTAAATAGTTTACGAATAAAATTCATCAAATCTACAAATATTATTGTATTTTGTAGATACGGGATGGATCAGAGAGGCAGAGACAAACCTGTTCCATCCCCGGGGACGCTAAACCCTAGCTTCATTTCCACGCATTAGATTCACCACTTCCACCTCTTATTGTCCTCCATGGAAGCAGATTCCCTCTGGACAACTGGAACAAAAGCTGGAGCCCCCCATCAACGGCCTTTTAGACTTGAGATTCCCTCGTGTCCATTACCATTTTTTATGCAGTCCGACGAGTTAATAGACTAAAGAAGAAACTCCATCAACGTACAATATGGAGAGCAGCAGAACAATATCTTGGAATAATGACTCCATCTTGCAGTATGGAGATTCTCTCCACATACTAAACTGCAAAATCAGGCATTCATTCTTTTTCACTTTTTGTTCTCTCTTTCCCACCCATCTTATCAGAAACAAAGCTACGGAATCAAATAATTGAACCCATACTGCAGTTCTACTTCTACACTTCCCCGCTATATAAATTTGGGCCACAGGTAGCTCTGGTTTTTGCAGCAAACCAAACCATTTCTTATAGCCTTGGATCATACAGCACCCCACAAGAAACCTGTTACCATGGCTTCAATGAAATGCTACCGCCCTGCTGACCACGATGCCTGCCACGCTAACCATCATCAGTCGCTGGAGCACCACAATTTCGGCCACCACGAGCCCCAGTACCACTCTGATGGTGGCCACCAGGTCTCTGGCAACTGCAACAGCCAGCTGAAGCACTCCCAGAGCCAAAATGGCCATGGCCATGGCATGGTCACGAGCCATCACCAGCAGAAACAATCCAGCTCCAACTTTTCTGCTTCCCATGGCCACGAGCATGGCGCCTCTGGCTTCATGGGCCACCATGACATCTCTGCTGGCCATCAGAAGCATGGTACTCATGCTTCAGCTGGCCAATTTTCTCATGCCTCGAGCCAGGGAAACCATGCCCATGCCGGCTTCAATGGTGGCCATCACAAGGCTGATAACTGTGGCCATGCTCAGGCCGGCTTCAAGAGTGGCCATGAAACCTCTGGCCATCACAAGGCCGATCACTCTGGCCATGCTCAGGCTGGCTTCAGGAGCGGCCACGAGACCGCGGGCTGGGGCCATGCTCAGTCTGGCTTCAAGAGCGGCCATGAGACCGCAGGCCATCATAATGCTGATAGCTGGGGTCATGCTCAGGCTGGCTTCAAGAGCGGCCACGAGACTGCAGGCCATCAAAAGGCAGATAGCTGTGGCCATGCTCAGGCTGGCTTCAAGAATGCTGCTGGTACTACTCACGGCCATGCCGAACAGCACGGCTCTCATGGAATGGTTGCTGCAACTGAGTACTACAAGGGGGAGAAGAAGTGCTCATCAAGTGAGACTAAGATGAAAACCAAGAGCGGTGACAAGGTCAAGAAGAATAAGAAGGACAAGAAGGAGAAGAAGAACAAGAAGTGTGGGAAAGACAGCAGCAGCAGCAGCAGCGACAGTGATTAAGAATCTAAATCAGCTGAATGCATGGGGACTACTCTATTAAGCATCTAAGTATGCAAAGTTAAGAAGATGTTGCTTTGATTAAATAAAGGAACAAAAGTGGTGGATTGCTAGCACTAGCAGCTTAATTTCACCATTGGAATAAAGATGTTCAACTATGGTTTGCCTGATTCCATAAAGAGCTTTAGTTAACCTGATAAGATCCAAAATGGCTGGCACATAGAGGCCTCCCCAATACTAACCACAAAATTAGCTACAGGAATGTTCAATATCACTGCAGTTACATTCCCTAACTATATATGCATCCTGATTCCCCCGGGAAATGGTCACCCAGAAACCTGCCCATGTTACTACATACATATACCAAAAGAGAGCTAGCTAGGTGGTGAAATATTTACATCGCGTTATTGTGATTTCTTGTGAGTTAGGCAGCTGGAAACGAAGGAAGCAACGGCGCCAACAGCATCCATGTCAGCTTCGTGTTGAGTGGAGCCATCTTCCAGCTTTTGCTCAACCGATATCTTGAGAGAATGATCCCCTCCATCTACGACGTGCAACCTGCTCCGGCATTTCAACTTCTGGCGAACCGATTGCAGCATATCAAATGGACAGAAAACATCGTTGCTACCCTTTTGTCCACAGTCCATAGAGAGGAAAAGAGCAGAAATGTCAGAATATTCGATTTTAGTATATACTGTTGAGAATTTATCTTGCATGGAGTGTAGCAGGGTAGAGAAGGTACCTGTACAAACATGACTGGGACTAGAAGTTGCATCAGTGAATCATTCAGTGTGGCTCGGACTAGGCTCTGATCATCATCGTGATGCAGAAAAGCAAACATATGTTTATGAGTTGAGTTCGTACGGAGAGTCTCCAAATAATTACAGAAACAAAAAATGAAGAAAGATGATGATGAATAAGATAGCAAACCTTAAGTGGGTACCCCAAGCATACTACTGCTGAAGCTGCAACGTCCACCTCACCAGCCACCATGCAGCTCACTCTTCAACATAACAAAAGGAAAAAAAGTTTAAAAGGAAAAACACTTGTTGGAGTGGTAATCATAGTGGCCTGTTATTGGTGCTTCAGCAGTCAAGAGATTAGAATATGTAATGAAGGGTAGAGAATTTATCAACCTTGCTCCCATGGCTTTCCCAGCCAAGATTAGAGGATGTCCAGGGTACTTCTCTGTGGCCTGTTTCACAATATCCTTGTGAAACCGGACCAGTCTTTCAGCTTTTGGAGGAGCCCTCTTCTTTTCACCAATCATATCTTTCAAACACAAAAGTTAAAACTCAAATAAAATATCTGAAGTGGCAGAGGCCATATAACTGTCAACACAATATCAGTAGAAGGAATTGTAAAAGAAAAATCAACTCACAAGGATAGTCAAAGGTGATGACTTCAATAGCATCCAGAGCATTCTTGAGCATCACCTTCCACCTGAAGGAGTTAGAAATTTCATAGGCTCGTACCCCTCAACACTTTCTTTTTCTTGTCTTGGATCCCTCTATAATGCTAGACCAATAAATTGAAAAGAGAGAATGAAAATGGAGAGATTAATGAGAACCTGAACATCCAACTAGAAGAAGATGGAGCACTAGAGCCAGGGGCAAAAACAACCACAGGTGATAGTGATGAGCTAGTATTTCCTGCATCTTTGTTTTGGTGGTGATTCAATGGGAAAAGAGTTGAAGCAACTTGAATCTGCTGAACCTGACGGCCAAGAAATGCTCCTGACACAATTTATACCGACAGTTATTTAGCACAACTCCTCTACCCTTTTTGGTGCTAAATCAAAGAAGTGAAAGAGTTCCATCCATGGCAGGGAAGGTAAACTGTCTTGTTACTTTCTGTTACCTCTCAGACAACCCGAAATGAATGAAGCAATAACCCCAACAGCTTTCATTTCAACTTCGTCTTGTGTCAACTGATTGGCAAGTAGATGTCGCTTTCCAATCCTGAACGAGTGGTTGCCTCCATCAACTACATGCAACTCGTTGTAGCAATTCATCTTCTTGCGGGTGGCTTCCAACTTTCCAAGTGGGCAGAACACATCTTTACTACCCTGGTTCAGGAAAGGAGGGAAAAAGCCAGACTTTGTCAAACATCATGTAACAATTTGGACATCTCCATGGCACTGAAGTTACAAGGTCTAAAGAAGCAAGCACCTGAACAAATATAACGGGGGCTTTGACTTGCATCAGTGCCTCATCATCCTCAACTGCTCCAGTCATGCCCTTGAAAAAGTTTTGGAACTATGAGAGACTAAAAGGCCATATAGCTAATATATTAATGATGGAAACCATGACTAGTTGCAGATTCACAGGCAATGGCTAACCTCGAGGGGGTAGCCCAAGCATATCACCGCTGCAACTTCAACCCCCTCCTTAGCTTCCACTAAGCAGCTTAGTCTAAAACAAACATAAACCACATGAAGTTCATGGAGCTGAATTTTCAGATAAGATAATATTGTAGGTATATCCACCTTGAACCCAGAGATCTCCCAGCCAAAACCAGAGGATGTCCAGAGTATTTCCTCGCTGCCATTCTCGCACAAAAGCCATGGTAACTCGCCGCATCATATTGTCTTGAAAGTTCCCCGGAACTATCTGCACACCAAAGAAACAATTTATCTTCTAATTAAGCCCCTGCCCTAGATTTATCATCAGGAGAAAACAAATCTCACTCTGCAATTTCGCTACACTTTCGAAGCACTTATGACTGACAAACAGCACCAAGAAAGGGGGGAAAATGGAATCAGGGATGAAATCGACTCACAGAGTTGCTGGACGGTGATTACTTCAACAGCATCCAGAGCATCTTCCAGCATCTCCTTCCAACTGAATAACCCAAAAGCGAGAGAGAGATTCGAAGGGCTTCATTTCCATGAATCTATCTTGTCTATGGCATTGCAATAGTGAACGAAGAATTGAGAGGGAAGAGAAAGCGATCACCTGATCATCCAATCGGACGAGACGGTACAACCAGGGCCGGGAGAGAACACAACCACCGGCGACAATCGGGCGGAAGACAAGCTGTCGCTCTCGCAACGTCCACGCTTCAAGGAAAGTGAAGAAGCCATTTGATTCGGCGCTGTGCTGTGCTCTCCCTCCAACAAATGATGAACAGGCGGACGGATAGGGTTTGGCTTGAGCTATCTTTTCCGTCCTTTTTCTAAACCCTAACTAACCAGTTGAAGTGCGAGCAGTGGTGAGATTGAGTCGTGGGGGAGAAGGAGCTCATAATCTTCCCGCCAGAACACAGGGTTAATCTAATCGCTGGACGCAATAGGGCGACATAGTACGACCTAAATTCCAAAATTCAAAACTTGCGCCATTTCTCTCGCGGGAATTCTCACTCAGTCGTTCCAAATTTTTAAAATATTAATACAGGCAGATTACGCTTAAATAAAATTAAAAAAAATCATCCCTTGTAAATTATGGGCGTGTCTATGCTAAATTTTGAATTTTGTGTGCATATCAAAATACGAAAATTCCTACAATACAATACCTTGAAGTTATTGTAATTTGATGTTTTTGACATGCTATTACAGGTTTTACAAGTCGCATTACGTAAATTACAAGTCGCATTACGTAAATTACAATAGGCATTACGTAATGGTTACGTAATGAGTGTTTATCTTACGTAATAGTTGAAAAGTGTCATTAAGGAAACCTTACGTAATAGACACTCATTTTACGTAATGAATATTAATCTTTCGTTACGTAATCTGTTAAATCATTACAGAAGACTTACGTAACGCTTCTAATTTGACTGTTACGTAACCTTTACGTAATAGATGCATACTTTACGTAACAGTTGTAAGGTGGCGTTACGGAAGCCTTACGTAATGGATGGTCCTTTTACGCAATGAATATTAATCAAGTTACGTAATGTGGTAAGTCATTACGGAAGTCTTACGTAACACTTCTAATTTAACTGTTACGTAAGATATAACCTTCGTTACGTAACCTTTACGTAATGAGCGTGTATTTTATGTAACAGTTGTAAAATATAATTACGGAAACTTTACGTAATGGACGATGCTTTTACGTAATGAATATTAACCTAGTGTTACGTAAACTGATAAGTCGTTACGGAAACCTTCCGTAACGCTTCTAGTTTAACTGTTACGTAAGACTAACAAGCATTACGTAATTGTTACGTAATAAACATTAGTTTTACGTAATGTGACCTATAAAACCTGCTATAGCAGGTTAAAAAAAGTCAAGTTATAGTAACTTCAAAGCACGATAGGAGGTCCCTTGAACAGAATCAAGATGAGAATTAGGATTGGCTTTCCATAATTATTCAACAGCTCAAACGTCTGAGGTGGTTTCGAATCTTGAATGAACTGTATACCTCGTTGCACTGCAAAAATTCAAGCGCAATTGTTCTGTTTGCACTTGGCATTGATTTTCCAGATCGTGATAATGTTTAATTGTTATACTCTGTTGAGTTGTTCTTGTTCCACTGGTTCCGACTCTGTTTGCCATGCTAGTTGGTTGTGCTAATTGTATCTCAAATGGGATTATACAAAGTTCACAATCGGGATCATTACATCCACATTCCTTGCTAAGAATAGCTGATCCTGATGTTATACTTTGTTCTCTTTCCATTGGGTTGATCTCTGTATTGTTCTTCCTTCTCTACCGATTTCCACTTAATCGGTTATGGGGAGCAACGTCAATTGGGAATAAAAGTATAGAACGAATGCCGCAACTGTAATGGTCAAACGTGCAAATGGTGCAATTGCTTTAATGAAGGGTTACATCCATGTAAACATCTGATATGTTTGGACTGATCATTGTTCTTAACAGAGTTTTTTAAAAATGACTACCAACCAAAAAAATACAACCAGAGCGAGGATTCCATGATCCAACAAAAATCATTACTATCCCAATGATAAGAAAATCAATTTCAACATACTTCTTCAAAAGAAACAGGTTATCAGTCTGAATAACTAGCTTCAACCTAACAATGCGATGCAAAACAGGTTCAAGCAGTGACAACTATAAAAGGAACTCCCATTCTTCCTAAATTACCCCAAAAGGAGAAACCCACTAGCCCATTTACACACCATCATCAGAAACTTTGCAGAAGTGGCCGACTGCTAGCTAGGTGTGGATACATACAGAATATTTGGACTTGCACATGAAGATCCTTTGAAAAAGTAACTGACGAGTTTGTAAGGCACAATCTCAGTCTTAGAATCCAGAATCAGGGACTCCAATTTCGGAAAAGGGGATGGCTGATTTTCCAGAAGCTCACAAAATTTACTCAGTACCTGCAGATAGAAACAGAAACAAACTTGAACGGATGCTGATACCTTCACAAGGAAACAAATGGTTAGGTTATGCATGCAAGAAGTGATCGGAAAGAGTATCTATTACCTCAACGGTGGTAACACCGTACAGCTTCAAAGATTTCGCATTACGCAAACCGTGGAACACCGAGATCAACTGCAACGTTATCGATTCCCGGTCATCCTCGACCGACACAGGTGTCCCCTCATGAACCCCAATTTCAGCATGATCCAGAGACGGAAGGCTTAAAGAGCATCTCAAGTACTCCACGTCTTCCTGGACACTGAAGCATTTCAGCTTCGGTGCATATATTTCGATCTTGTCGAACTCCACAGAATCCAATGTCAGGCTAAGCAATTCGAGTCCGTATATCCTGATACTCCTATCATCCACGAGACGAGAACTCTCGTACCCACGGCAATCCCTCATGCTCAAATGCTTGAGACAAGGAAAGTTAGAAAATGGTTCAAGTACCTCCTGATCACAAGCGACCAGACAAGTCAGCAAATCTAGAGTCGTCAGGGCACGAAAACCGGGCGACCCAAACCCTCTATCGAGGTCGAAACCTTCCAATTCTAGGGTTTTCAGATTGCAACTCGAGATCGAGCCAAACAGATCGGAGAATCTGTAAGTGTCAGGGGTCGTCATGTCATTTACAGTCACAATCAGCAAACGTTGTGCATCATGGTACAAGGCATGTCGGATAACCCTAATCACCAGAGAATCGTCTCTTCCCTCCGACCTAAGCTGGCGGTCTAGAAAGCTGACCTTGCGGAGATTCAGGGGATAACGGCGGGACAAAACCTTGCCTACATACCTTCGGAAGCTCGAGTAATCTTGGAAGTAATACTGATTGAACTCCAGAGCAGGGACGTGTTTCCAGACGCATCTCCAAAATCGGGAGAGCACGGAGGTTTGAACGGAGGATTTGGAGTCGAGGAACGAAAGGATGTGATGAATAATAGGTTCTGGAAGACGGCTCAACCTGTCCCAGCGTCTTACTTTCCATGCCTTCCTGTTCTTGCTCATTAGAATTTCAGTTATGAGAACCAGAGGATGTAAGAAATCGAAGGATCAGAGACGGAGAAACTTGATCGGAGCAAAACGAAGAGGGTGAGAGACTGTTATCGCCGCCGGCGCAAGTTTAATAGAAAAACTGGGGCATTTGATCGGAGTAAACTAGGGCTTCGCTAGGCTCCAAGCAGTTGTAGAGGGAAAATGAAGGGGAAAAAGGGGTTTTGTTTACAACTTTTGAATCCTGTTAAATATTCAATGTGTTTTGGATTTATTTTGGGCCGTGCGTTATGGGCTTTTACTCTTAACAAATATAGGACATGGGCCCAGATCGTCCAAGGAAGTCCAACTGATAAATGGAATAGCGACCAAGCTTCCTTATTCTAATAATGAGTTTTGATAACGATATTTTAAATTTTTGAATCTCAAGTTGTCAACTAGATTAATAGGTTGATTCTATATTATCTAAAACTATATATAATTTTTGAACATTTTAGGATCACAGTCATTGACTCATTGTACTGTTATTAAAACCGGACCGGCCGGTCAAACCGGAAAAATCGGATTCGGCAAGTAATCCGATTCCGAAAGTTTTGAAACGAGCAAAAAAGGTGGTGGACGGTTAATGACTGGTTCGGCCCATTCCATGAAGTCACATTTTTTTATTTCTGAGTGATATCAAAGAGATAAAATAGTTAATCTTACAGTTCTACCCAGGACCCCCTTAAAGACAATCTACCGAGGCTACCCCCAAAAAATCAAAAGATTCTAACTCTACAAGAGATAAAAGCAGTGCTTTACGCGCCACTCTATGGGCAGCACTGTTGGCGGACCTAGGTACCGCCCTAAACTCTATACAAATAGACAAAGAGCTAAGCATCTGGAGACACTCTCGTAACACCGGACCACCAATCGAATCTTCTGAGATGCCTTGACGGACTTGGTTGACAACCACTTCAGAATCGCCTTCGATAATCACGTGGGACAAGGATCTTGAGGCTACAAAGGAGATAGCATCCCTGAAAGCTAGAAGCTCTGCCAGATAAGGGTTGTCTATTCCTTTATGCTGCAACCCAACCGCCAACCTCACATGCCCGTCTGAGCCTCTGATAACAAGCCCAGTCGAACACCCGGAGGCACTAACCGCTGCGTCGACGTTGATCTTCAAAAAGCCTTCTGGAGGGGGGATCCAAGCGGTGGCTGAAAAATTTGGGAGACGAGAGCTGCGGGGGGGAGGGGGGGGAAGGAGACTGGAAAATTCGAGGACCTGGTTGTAGAACTGTCTGGCTAAGGATCGGATATGGGGTTGGGTAAATTCAAAGGTCACTTCATTTCTAGACTTCCAGATTCTCCAAAGTAAACAGACGCATTGGAGAATGTGGAATGGGGAGGTCTCGGAGACCATGACATGTCGCCACCATAGACTAAAGTTAACAGTCTGGGCGGTCTCAATAATGTTGCTCAATCCCACTATAGACCACAATCTGATGGCTAGGGGGCATCTGAAAAATAAGTGTTCAATACTTTCTCGATGTCTCCAGCAGACAGGACATCGGTTAAGGCAGTTAACTCCACGAGATTGCAGAGCTACTACTGTTGGGAGTATGACTTTGAGACATTGCCATATGAAGAATTTGAGTTTAGGTGGAACTTGGATGTTCCAAGTCTTTTTCCAAATAGGAGGGTCGATAATTTGCACTATCGGTTTTCGACTTGGTGCCAATATTCTTTCCAAAGCTAAGTGATAACCCGATTTGACTGTGTATTTTCCATCCTTGGAAAAGTGCCACACTCTAATATCTTGTTGTGAGTAACGAGGAAGCGGAATTCTCCTTATAAGATCAACTGACTGAGGTTCAAAGTAATTTTGAAGTTTTGGAACGTCCCATTCCCCTCGACCTTCTTTTATAAAATAAGATACCATAGGAGATCCATTTTGAATGTGGGGTCGTGTACTCGGAATTATGGGTTTATCCCCCGGAATCCAGTTATCAATGAATGCCCGAGTACTTTGTCCATTACCTATTTGCCACCTTAATCCCTGGAGGAGCAGATCTCTTCCAAAGAGTAGACTTCTCCACCCCCACGAAGGATTTGAGCCGATTGATGCTTCCAACACCGAACATTGGGTAAAGTATCGACCCTTATAAATCTGGGATAGGAGTGAATTTGGATTAGTCCATATTCTCCAGCATTGTTTGGCCAGCAACGCTAGATTGAAGGCTTCAAAATCCCTGAATCCAAGACCTCCATGGAATTTACTGTGAGCTAAGCTTTTCCAAGACACCCAGTGGATTGGGTGATCTGAATTTTGTGCCGTGCCCCACCAAAACTTTGCAACATGACTGTTTAGTCGTCTACAGTTTTCCTTGGGGAGCTTGAAGCATGACATTCCTAATACTGGTATATTAGTGGCCGATGTTCTAATAAGAATGTCTTTCCCAGCTTTCGAAAGGGAACGTTGCTTCCAGCCTTGTAACTTCTTAATAAGTTTCTCCTCCATGAACTGGAATGTATCCCTTTTTGATTTAGATAAGATGGCAGGTAGACCTAAATAGGAGTCATGTTCTCCTATAGTTCCAACACCCAATTGAGCCCCCATAATTTGAGCTTGAGAAGGGTCTGTATTGTGACTGAAAAGGACGGCTGATTTAGCTAAGTTTATTCGTTGACCGCTCAACTCCTCGTAGGCCTTTAGAAGGGAGAGGAGGGACGTACAATACTCTGTCGAGGCGGACAAAAATAGGTATGAGTCATCCGCGAAAAATAGATGGGAAATTACCGGACAACTAGGGCGGATTCTGACTCCTTCAAGGAATCCTACGGAGGTAGCTTTTCTAATCATGCTAGAAAATCCTTCGGCACAGATGGCAAAAAGGAGAGACGATAGGGGATCTCCTTGTCTTAGTCCTCTTGAAGGTCTAAAGTATTCTGATGGGGATCCGTTAATAAGTATCGAATACGACACTGTAGTGACACACTCTTTTATCCAAGATATAAATCTAGGATGTAAGCCAAGAATTCTCATCATTTCGAACAAGAAAGGCCATTCTATTCGATCGTATGCTTTCTCCATATCTAGTTTCACTGCCATCCACCTTTTATTCTTGGATTTAGAAGTTTTGAGATGATGAACCATTTCATGACTGATTAGGATATTATCTGAAATTTGACGCCCTTTGATAAACCCGTTTTGAGTTGGGGATATGATCTTGGGTAACACTCTACTCAACCTGTCTGCTAAGATTTTTGCTATGACTTTGTAGATCACTTGGCAAAGGCTGATTGGTCTTAGATTTTTCATGGTTCTAACGTTGTTTACCTTGGGGACCAGTGATATCCAAGTACGATTGAAAGATCCATGAAGTCACATATATAGACAAAGGTTCTGATATGATATCCTTTTCCTAACCAAATTGGGTTTCCCCTTCCGCAAGAAACAATAAACAATAATGAAGTAACAATTATTTTATCCAGTGAAAGCCATCAGTAAACTAAAACCTAACCCTTAAACTTCTCTGAACCTCCCTCCCATTCATCACATGCAGGTGCGTGGGCGGTCTTCCATTTCTCGAATGCTTAGTTTCTGGCCTTTCTCACGAAACAGTGTCGTCGATAGTTTGCCACGAATGTTCTGATAAACCTCAGCTTCATAGGTTCTCGTAGCACGATCAGGATTAGGGATGGCAACAAAACCCGAATCCATGGGTACCCACCCGACCCAACCCGGTCAACGCGGGTAAAATCCGTGTTGACGGGTTTTGGGCCGGGTTTGGGTTTAAACCCGTTCACTATTCACCGGGTTGGGTTTGGGTTTAGGTAAACCCGACTCATGGGTACCCGCCCACACTCATATAATTAATTTTCTCGGCATATTTAATATTCTAAACAATTAATCTTATTTATGTTTGTGGAGACAAGTCTAATTTTTTCTTTCTAGTGATGTAGAATGAAGTTGATGTTATTGAGTGGAGAGTGAAAAACTTAATTGAAAGGAAGAAGCTTTCGATTAATCATGTTATTTATGGATAATTTGTGATTTCTTCAATTTTCTTGAGTTTTCTAGATTGGTGTTGAACAATTTGTGTAGTTAATTTGTGATTTGCTTGAATTTTCTAGAATGGTGTTTTATATATGGATAATTTGTATTGAGAGATTGATATTTGACTTTAATTTTGATAGGAAATTGTTATTGTGAATTTTTTACGACAAAAACCCGTGGGTACCCATGAACCCGCGGATACCCAGCGGGTTGGGTTGGGTTTGAGTTTTTCAAACCCAGTGGGTTTTACCCCGGATTTTTTTCACGGATAAACCCATGGGTTTGGGTTTGGCAAAACCCGACCCAACCCGACCGATTGCCATCCCTATTCAGGATCAGAAGACAGCAGGTCAGCAGCCTAGAAGGTGATGTAGTAGTTCTTAACAATGTTTAAAAAAATGTTAATATCTTATTTTGGCCCGAATTATATCCAAACTTTCTACCTTGGTCTGTGGTTTCTGAAATTGTTCCTTTGGTCCAAACTATGCACCATATTTTCTTCATTGGCCCGACCCAAAATTTTCACCGTTAAAAATATTTGAATATACAAAAATAATACAATCACTTTCTTCATAAGGCAACCATCTATTATCAAACAATCTATTCCAAGACAAAGCGTCATTTCGCAAAATGTACTGGCAGTCGTCTGATTATTTTCAATATTAGTGGCGAAGCCATGATTTATAGTGAATTGGATCAGAATTCAGAAATATAAAAAAATCACTAGGATCTTGGGTGAGGGAGCTGATAGCCCCATCCTACCAATTATCAACATTTATTTCTTGTGTGATCCATAAATTATATCCAACCATCATATATTGAGAGGACTGCAACCTAGTGACCCATCCTAGATCACTAGATTACACGTAGCACCACCACGATCACCATAGAGGACATTCTGCTTTAACTTTAGTCCATTGTTACAAGAAGCAACTAATAGAATTTCGGCTAATTTCACTAGAAAGTCCAAACTATCCAAAAAGTGTCATTCGTGTCCAAAACTATTTAATATGACAAATCTGGCACAAACTATATGCGTTTCGTGACATTTGTGTCGGAAACTATTCAATATGACAAATATGGCACCAACCACATAGAAACTGATTTGATTTTCTGTGATCTACTAATAGCCAACGTCGGTCAACATTAACGGAAAAATAGTTCGTGCCAGATTTGTCACATTGAAAAAGTTTGGTACACTAATGACATTTTTTGAATAGTTTAGACTTCCCAGTGAAATTAGCCCTAGAATTTCTAAGAGGCTTCTCGAGAATGAAAACGCAGGAACAAGCCATAGCACATCGCTATTTGGTTTATCGAATAACTTATTGATGGATCAATTGATACTTCAGAATCAAACAGACTCAACAGCTTAACATATGGCAAAGTAATTCAGAACAATCTCTCAGAAGTCAGAAGGAATAACAAAAGAGGGAGGAGAATAGATTGTTCCAAACAGTTCCGAAAAAGAAAGACAACAACAACAACAATCAACTCACTGCGTTAAGCAAGAAACTACTGCAAGATCGTCGATTCTAACGCTATGCAAACTCGATCTTCGGATCTGTGCAAGAACTTCTTTTGAACAAGTAATTGACCAATTTCAAGGGTATGGACATGGCCGTGGTGTCGCTGTCCACGATCAATGACTCCAACCTCGTAAAGGGGGAGGGGTGTTTTTCCAAAAACTCAAAAATTTTGTTCAATTCCTGCACCAAACAGAAGCCAAACTTAGAACCTAAAAGGGTAACATTCTCAGGAAGACAGCACGGCTTAGTTATTGCAACAATATTAACTAAAGGTTACCTCAATGCCATCGGCGTCCAGCACTAGTGATTTTGCATTACTCACACCTTGGAACAAGGAGATCAACTCTAGCGCCATCTGTTCTTCCCCGGACCCACCAATACAGTCGTTAATATCAGCGTGAACCACGGAAGGAAGGCTTAACTTGGAGAATTTTTGGAGGTGCGAGTCATGCCAAAAAATGAAGAATTGGAGCTTTGGTGCAGTTATTTCAATCTTTGGAAACCACGAGTCATCCACTTTCAGGCTAAGCAATTCAGGTCCAGTTATCTTCACAATCCTTTCATCCGCAATTGGATAGGGATGATCAAGAGGGCAATGCCTCAGTACCAAATTCTCCAGGCAGGGTAAATTAGAAAAAAGATCAATGTCCTCCTCCGAATCAGAAACCAACAGGCACCCGCGCAGCCATAAAGTTGTTAGTACCCGAAAACCAGAAGATCTAAATCCACTATCCACAATGACAGATCTTAATTCTAGAGTTGTGAGATTGGAATCCAGAACTGACCCAAACAAGTCGGAGTACTTGTAACAATCTTGATAATAGTCCGTTCCATTCTCGAGGTCAATCACCAGATGTTGAGTATTATGAGATAGAGCATACTTGATGACCTCGACAAACAGACTAACATCTCGATCCTCGTAACTATGATCGTGGTCGATATACCTCAGCTTCTGGACATTGACATTGCAGCGGAGGGACAAAACCTTGGACACAAAGCTTCGGAAATTCCGATACTCTTTGAAGGAATTGCTATGGAGGTTAATGACAGGAACTTGCTTCCAAGCACTTTGCAATGCTCGCGACAGTACAGAGGTTTGAACAGCAGACTTGGTGTCGAGAAACGAAAGGATGTGACCAATAATGGCTTCTGGAAGAGCACTTAACCTATCAGAGCGCCTTTCTCCAGCTTTCTTTGGGTGGTTCATCATTTTCTTCGAAAGAATTAACTGTAAAACTCCAGCTATACTTGGAGTGTTTTTTTTTACCCAGGACGAACGGACTAATGATGCAATGTAACATATATAGGACAAAGGTTCCAATATCCTTTTCCTAACCAAAGTAGGTTTCCCCCTTCCGCAAGAAACAACAAACTATAATGAAGCAACAATTATTTTATCCAATGAAAGCCATCAGTAAACTAACCCTTAAACTTCTCTGAACCTCCCTCATTCATCACATGCAGGTGCATGGGCGGTCTTCCATTTCTCGAATGCTTAGTTTCTGGCCTTTCTCACGAAACAGTGTCGTCGATAGTTTGCCACGAATGTTCTGATAAACCTCAGCTTCATAGGTTCTCGTAGCACGATCAGGATCAGAAGACAGCAGGTCAGCAGCCTCGAAGGTGATGTATGTAGTAGTTCGTACCAGCGCAGGGACCCCAATTGGCCTTCACGATCTTAACAACTTGCAGCTCGGATACCTGCATAGACATACAAATTAAGACAAGCTACTCATCATGTCGAATTTTCGATCCCCAGCTATGATAACACCACCACCACCACCACAACAACAACAACAAACACAGATAGATTCTAATGATTCGTCGCTTGCGAGTTTGGGATTAGCATCGCAAGGCATTTGATCGGAAGACAGCTGCATTTCGGCCTAATTTGAAAATTTCTTGCTCGTGTCTAACCAACACCGTATCCACGTCAATCACCAGATGTTGGGTACCATGGGAAGCCGCGTACTGAATAACCCTAATCAGCAATCGACGGTCTCTGCTCTCGTACCTCTCCTTGTCGGTGTAGCTGATCTTCCGGGCATCAATGTAGGGATTGCGGCGAGACAGGACTTGGTCGACGCACCTGCAGAAGCTCGAGTAATTCTGGAAGGAGCTCCGACGGAGATCGAGGATGGGGACATGTAGCCAGGCGGTTTGCCAGATTGGGGACAGGACGCAGGTCCGTACAGCGGATTTGGTGTCGTCGAGCAACGAAAGGATGTGATGAATGATGGAGTCTGGAAGATGGCTTATCCAGTCAGCAGCAGCTTCTTCTTCTTCGCGGCTCCTTTTTCTAGATGCTTGGCCCAACTCGGCCATGGCGGGACTTTCTATAGCAGGACGCAAGTAGAGAACCTCTCTGAATTCCGGGAAACCGAAAGCGAGAAATTGAAAGGATCAGAAACGAAAACTTTGGGTGCAGATGCTGGAGGAACAGGTGGACTGGAGGAGAAGATCAAAACGTGGAAGCCATGCACAAACCAGCTCACTGGCTCTTTCTTTTTTCCTTTCAGCTGTTATAAGTAAAATAAAATGCGCATAAAATAACCTATTGCGAAGGAATTAGAGGAGGATATAAATTATTAGGGTAAATGTCACATTTTGGACACCGAGATTACTAAATCATCTCATGTATAATCACTAGAAAAATTTAATATTAATTTTAATCACTCGATTTACTGAAACATGTCACATTTGGTCACTCTCCTGTAGTCATTGTCCAACTTCGATCACTCGAATTATTTAAACATGTCACATTTAGTCACTCGAATGACTAAACATGTCACATTTAGTCACTCTCTCGTTAGTTAATGGATTTGGACGGAAACTAACGAGAAAGTGACTAAATATGACCAGTTTCAGTAATTTGAGTGATCAAAATTGATATTAAATTTTTCTAGTGACTAAACATGACACGATTTAGTAATATTAGTGACTAAATGTGGCATTTACCATAAATTATTATTGCTTCTATTCTTTCTTTTGATTTACGTCAAATCTCAAATCTCAATACAGATTAGACAAGACTACCGAGTCTCTTCGATCTATAGCCAAGGAGGGAGGATCAATAATTGAGGGATGCGGATGTAAATGGCATTCAATATGGTAATCACTGATATACTCAAAGAGCATTCAGTATGCTTCAAGTGATTTAGTCATTAGATCTCCTTTTTCTTTAGTCATTAGATCTCCTTTTTTGAGCTTCAGTCAATCTCAACAGTCAATTAGTATTTTTTATAAAATTGAACTTCTAGTTTGAATTTAGAGAATCAGGAGCTGGGATTTCTCCGTTAGAGGTTAGGGTACAATATCATACCCCAAACTTGATTTAATTCAAGGTCCACATATAAATATCTCGCTAAGAGTACTTGGAGTATAGTATACTTCAGGAGTACACCAATATGACCCTTCAATATATAATAAATATATTACTATTACCCTCCGTAAACATAAACATCTTATTTTTGAAGTTTAAACAAAGAATTAAAAAAGTATACCACATAGGTGGTTCGATAAGAAAATCTCATACTGGTAGGCATCATTTAACGATATGAAGTGGTTGAACCACAATTAAACCAAGATTTTAGCATAAAGTATCTCTGACGTTTCTAGTACGATCTCCGATACGGTATTTCAATCCTTGGTTTGAGCAGCAACAGTATATGCTCGCTTACCTCACTTTCGTCAATCTCTTGTTCTTCGTAATGGCTAAGTTCTTGGGCAAGCATTAAAGGGATCTTTTAACTCCTACGGATTGACAACCCAGGGTGATCCCCTGTTTTCATATCACCTGCAAAAGTCAGACAACAACCCACACATTGTTATGCTGAGTAAGAAACTAAGGCAAGAATGCCAACTACTCTGTTCTTGCCGAAGCTTGATGTTTGTGTTCTCTAGCAGTAGAAGTACCTTTAAGGAAATAATCGATTAGTTTGCGAGGTATACTGTCACCATCCACGATCAATGACTTCAGCCTCTTAAGCGGAGATGGTTGTTCCAGCAACTCATAGAATTCACTTAGCATCTAAAACATAACAGAGATAAACATCAAGTGTAAGCCAGTACTTCCTGGAGAATGGAACCACATACATTGGGCGCAAGCTCACTAATCCGAAACAAAGAAAGTACTACCAAGATGGTCCGGGAATGCAGCGTTAGAGATTTTGCATTACTCAAAGATCGGAACAAGGGGATCAAATCTCGCTCCACAAGTTCCTTTCTACCTAGCTTCTTGCTGTCCAGGCCATAAACATTAACATAGGCATGCTCAAGGGAAGGAAGGCTTATACCATTGAATCCTTTGTACAGCCCCCAACCGCAGAGACCGAAGAACTTGAGTTTCGGGGCAAATACTTCAATCTTACAACTATAATCAGTCATGGCCACGAGTTTCAGGCTAAGCAAACTGAGCCCGGAGATCCTCAAACTCATTTTGCCATTGTCAAAAATAGAGCCATAGTTGCAATCCGTCAAGACCAGATTTTCCAAACAAGGGAAATTAGAAAAGGGATCAGGATCCCATTCCTGTATCGCATCATACCCCAGCAGGCAGCCGTCCAATTCTAATGTAGTCACGTTATGGAAACCAGGAGATCCCATCCCACTGTCCAGGACAACGTAACCTTTAAATTCTAGGGTTTTGAAATTCGAATTCAAAATCGGGGCAAAGAACTGGGAGAACCTGAAACTCTCGTCCGGAATATCTAGGGTTATCGGTAACTTAGACACGTCAATCGCGAGGTGTTGAGTACCATGGGAAGCCGCGTATTGAATAACCCTAGCCAGCAATTTACGGTTTCTCCGCTCGTAACACTCCTCGTCGGCGTAGCTGATCTTGAGGGCATCGATAACGGGATTGCGGAGAGAGACAGGACTCTGTTGACGAACCAGCAAAAGCTTGAGTATTTGTGGAAGGATCGGTCATCGAAAGTGAGGACGGGGACATGTTTCCAGGCGGATCGCCAGAGTGGGGACAGTACGCAGGTCTGAACGGCGGACTTGGTGTCGTCGAGCAACGAAAGGATTTGATGAATGATGGAGTCCGGAAGATGGCTTAACCTGTCGCTAGTAGTAGTAGTAATAGCATCTTCTTCTTGGCGACTCCTTTCTCCTGTTGCTTGCCCCAACTCGGTCATGGCGGTTTTTCTACAGAAGCCACCTAGAGATAGATTTCAGTCCGCTTGGATTCGGTTTAAATAGCAATCTGGTCTTTTTCCAATATTCACAAATTCTTGACATAAAAATTGGATTATATTGTATTTAATTCGGAACAAATTACAACATTATACAATTCTAATTATAACTTATAATGGAAAAAAATGTAAGCAATTTTTCTGAGTCTCATGGCAAATTTTAAAAAAATTCCAATCATATCAGGAATACATATATAGGGGTCATAAGCATGTACATATTACATTTTTATGTTATTTTGGACCATTTTATTTTAGAAAAAAATCGTGAATTTTATTTGAATATAATACCACTATGAACACAATTTTTTAGGTCTTTTAGTTGAGCTGGACTCAATTCTTCATATAATACAATTGGATTGCTCATAGAACACAATTTTAGGCATGTTGTAGATACATCTTCGGGTCGAATCAATCTTGATGGTTGTTTCTCTCACACAACAAATAATTTATTACATCAAACATGTGTATAGCATGGTAAGAATTAGAACCACGGATTGATACAATGAGCAAAACTCAAGATATCTGAAGTTGAAGCATGTTGCTAATCAGTTACAAAAAAAGGGCATTGTTTTTTTGATAACGTAATATATATCGCAATTAATCAAGTAGAATCTATAAGTAACCTAGGTTGTCCAAATAACCTATTCATAAACCTGAAAGAAAAGGATACACCAAACTCTTACCTAATGTAATCAGAGACTATAACAAAATAATCAACCAACTCAACAGTTGGTTTTGTACTAGAAGACCCTTTTTAAGAAAGTAATTACCAAGGTCGATAGAGATTCTTCTTCCTACTACCGCAAGAAAACGAGCGGGTTATCTAACTGCTTTGGAGGTAAAATAAAAAGCTTCACATTCTTATGAATATGGATGTCATCCACGACTAAGAAACTCTAACAGCAGAATCAAATAAGGAAACGTCAGAAGATATATAGCCCTTACACATACACAGTTTTGCTAGCTTCCCTCACTTTCCCTCGACCTCTTCTTCCTCGTAATGGCTAAGTTCTTCGGGATGGGCAAGTGCTAAATGACATTTTGTAAGGATTGACAACCCTGGGTGATGCCCTATTTTCATATCACCTGAAAAAGAAATAGAGAACAACTAACTCATTACTCTGTTCAGCAAGAGACCAAGGCAAGACTGTCACCTACTTCCTTCCGCCGAAGCATGATATTTGTGTTCTCTAGTAGTAGAAGTACCTTTAAGGAAGTAACCGATTAGTTTGCAAGGTATACTGTCACCATCCACGATCAACGACTCCAACCTCTTAAACGGAGAGGGTTGTTCCAGTAACTCATAAAATTCAGTCAGCACCTAAAAGAGTAACCAGAGACAAACTTCAAATGTAAGTTGATACTTCCTAAACAATGGAACCACGTACATTGGGCAAACGTTCACTAATCCGGAAAGAAAGTATTACCGAGATGGTCCAGGAATGCAGCGTCAGAGCTTTTGCATTACTCAAAGCTTGGAACAAGGAGATCAAATGTCGCTGCACCAATTCCTTTCTACCACCCTTGTCGTGGAAGAAGTTGTAAGCTTTGATATATGAATGCTCAAGGGAAGGAACTTTTATACCTTTGAATACTTTGAACGGCCCCTGACTAGAAAGACTGAAGAACTTGAGCCTCGGGGCAAATATTTCAATACTACTACCATCATCCATGTCCACGAGTTTCAGGCTAAGCAAACTGAGCCCCGAGATCCTCAGAGTCCTGTTGCCACTGTAAAAAGTAGAGCCATAGTAGCAATCCTTCAAAACCAGATTCTCCAAACAAGGGAAATTAGAAAAGGGATCAGGATCCCATTCCTCTTCCGCATCAGAATACAGCACGCAGCGGTCCAAGTCTAATGTGGTCACATTCCGAAAACCAGGAGATCCCATCCCGCTGTTCAGGACCATATAGCCTCTAAATTCTAGGGTTTTGAGATTCGAATTCAAAATCGGGGCAAAGAATTGGGGGAATCTGAAATCTTCTTCCACCGAACTGGCCAGGACTGTATCCTCGTCAAGCACCAGAAGTTGAGTGCCATGGGAAGCCGCGTATTGGATAACCCTAATCAGCAATCTACGGTCTCTGTTCTCGTAACGCTCCTTGTCGGTGTAGATGATCTTGCGGGCATTAATAAGGGGATTGCGGAGGGACAAGACTTCGTCGACATACCTGCAAAAGCTCGAGTACTTCTGGAAGGAAAGTCGATGGAGGGTGAGGACGAGGACATGTTTCCAGAAGGATCGCCACAATTGGGACAGTATGCAGGTCTGGACGGCGGACTTGGTGTCATCGAGCAGCGAAAGGATGTGATGAATAATGGAGTCTGGAAGATGGCTTAACCTGTCAGCAGTAGCATCTTCTTCTTTGCGGCTCCGTTTCCCGTTTGCTTGTCCCAACTCGGTCATGGCGGTTTTCTACCGGGAAGATGAAGGATTTCAGTTCTGGGAAACCTAAGGCGAGAAATTGACAGGATCCGAAACGAACATTTAGCAAGAGAAGGACGAGTGCCTATACACCCCTGGTGTATTTCCTTGGTAATGCATTTTCACCATTATCCAAAAAAAAAAAAGAGAAGGACGAGTGCCAATTGAATCGCCTCTCGGATAGGATCCGGTGCTTAAGCCTATACATTTAAGCATTTTGTTTAAGTCATTTTATTGGTTGATAGTGGATTAGGTAGTTAATAAAGGGGTAAGTAGTTAATAGGTAGTTGAAGATGAATAAGGATATTATGCAAATATAATTAATATTAATAATTAATTATTCTCTTTCTCTCTCCTCCCATAACTTTCTCCATAATCCTCTCTCTCCAATGCAATTAAAAGGAAATTCGAAATTAATTTAATTAAATTTTAATATTTAATATTTAATAAAATTCAAACTTAATAATTTTTTCTCTTAGAAATTAAAAATTAAAAATATTCTCTCTCATTTCGTGACAACTTGCAATGTAGTATTAACGTTTTGCAATGACATTATCAACGTTTATGAAATAAATCATTTTTATTATACCTTATCATTATTAACGATTTCAATATAAGTATCAACTCTTTACAATTATATTATTAACAATTTTGAATCAATCGTTACCGTTGTAAATTTCCATCATCAACGTTTATGAATGAATCATTGATTACAACATCTTTACTAATGATTCACAATGACATTATCAACATTTATGAAATAAATCATTATTATTATACCTTATCATTATTAACGATATAAGTATCAACTCTTTACAATTATATTATTAACAATTTTGAATCAATCGCTACCGTTGTAAATTTTCATCGTCAACGTTTATGAATGAATCATTGATTACAACATCTTTACTAATGATTCACAATATCATTGATTCACAACATTATCATTATTGATACTATTAGTAATGGGCTCTCAAAGACGCCTCACTCGTTTCGACAAACAAACAACAACTTATATCATGATACATCAAACGTCGACAGTGTTCACTATTAACAGTACATGACAAAATTGCAAATATTTTAGGTTAACTGTTAAACGTTTTGAAACTATTAGTAATGATATACTTTCACGTTGTTAACGTTTTTAACGTAAACGTGACGTTCTCATCCCAAAAATTTCATTGAAACTGAAAATTATAAATGGTTTAGGTCGATTTTTAATGATTTTAATACTATTAGTTATGATATACTTTAACAACATTTTGGTGGGAGTTGCTTAACGTTTTTAACGTGAAAGTGAAATTGTAAGTTGTAACAACTACGTGATATCACGATACATTAACAAACAACATATGATATCATGATATATTAAACATAGATAATGTAACTATATTTTATTAATAACCTTAAATATTAAACATAGATAATGATTATAACCTTAAATATTTTATTACGTTAATAACAATTTACATTACATCAACAATGATAACATTACATTAGATTGTTAACAATGAGCCTAAACCCATTAACAAACAACAAAAAATGATTTCGGAGACGATGATAATGTTTTTGTATATCGTTGAAAATTAATTGCATAAAAGTTGATAACAGTACCTTGGATTGATTATAATGAACCAATAAAAGTTGATGGTGTAATTGTTTGACATTTTTTCATAAACGTTGATAACTACAATAAAAACAAATAGTACACTTTATCAAGAAGTTTATAAACCCGATGTCCAAATTAGAAAACATAAGCTCCTAGGTTGATAGAGATGAAACAAACCGTTAATAATGTAACAAAAATTTATTGATAACGAAAACATCAATAACCAAAACATTATGTTTTTATTGAATACACAAATATTTATTTTCAACTAAATATAGTCGTTATCAATGATTTAGTGTGTTCTTATTAAAGGTTACTAAAGTTCAAAACTAATAATGTCATAAAGTGTTTTATTAACAAGTCATGTAAAATTTGATAATAACGATTATTAAACATTTGATAATGAAAACTATATGTGCACACATGACATGACGTTACTAATTAATGAAAAATTGACAATGTTAAATATAATCTCCAAACACGTCAAATAAATAATTAATAAAAACATTTTGGGAGCTCATAAACGTTGATAACAATTGATCCCAAATTCTTAATAATATAATAGTAAAGAATTGATACGTATATTGAAATTGTTAATAATTATAAGGTATAGTAATAATGATTTATTTCATAAGCGTTGATAATGTCATTGCAAAATGTAGTCACGAAGTGAGAAAGCAGATTTTAATTTTCAATTTCCATTTTTAAATGACAAACAATTATTAATTTTGAATTTTATTAAATAATAAAATATAATTAAATTAATTTCATATTTTCTCATAATTGTAGTAGAGAGAGGATTATGGAGAAAGTTATGTGAAGAGAGAGAGAGAATAATCAATTATTAATATCAATTATATTTGCATAATAACCTTATTTATCCTCAACTACCTATTAACTACTAACCACTTATTAATTACCTAATCCACTATCAACCAATAGAATGACTTAAGCAATATGCTTAAGCATTTGGGCTTAAGCACAGGAACCCAGGCCATCGCCTCTCTATCGGCAAACTGCAAATGCAGGAGAAATAGGAGGAGATGAAAGGGATCAGGTCAGGGGGATAAATCGCTCGTTCTGATGGGGAAATATTGTATTTGAATTTTGAGCTCTGGGTTGTAAATTGGGCCAGCCATTTCACCGGAATTACAACTCTCATTAACTTTCAGGGAATTACAAACCGTAATCAAATCGTAAGCTCATCCCATTTTACTTGATCATGTTTAAATAGTAGTTTAATATCTTGCTCTTCATTTGTAATAAAATTCATAAAATCACTTCAGATTGATCCAATTCAAATATCAATGTGAGCTAGTGCGAAACATAGTACATCGCTCCCTAAAAAATATATGTTACAGGAGAGGCGCTTAGAGACAGGGCAGGGTCGCATATTGGGGGCCTATTCGATAAATCTGGGAAGATGTTCAATCACTTGCGGTGCCATACAAGGTCCTCAACTGGTGTGAGACCTAGGATACAAGAAGGTGGAGCTGCAACCGGACTCCACCACAGTCGTGCATCTCATATTCGAGTCTGTTTCGAACTAATCACCAACACGCTATCCTTGTACTTTCTTTTCAGGAACTGCAGAAGCGTGACTAGGACATACGGGTTACGCATGTTTACAGGGAAGCTAACTTTCTTGTTGATAGGGATGGCAATGGGTCGGGTTGGGTCGGGTTTTGCCAAACCCAAACCCAAACCCATGGGTTTATCTTTGAAAAAAACCCGGGGTAAAACCCGCTGGGTTTGAAAAACTCAAACCCAACCCAACCCGTTGGGTACCCGCGGGTTCATGGGTACCCACGGGTTTTGTCGTAAAAAATTTACAATTACAAGTTCTTATCAAAATTAAAGTCAAATATCAATCTCTCAATACAAATTATCCATATATAAAACACCATTCTAGAAAATTCAAGCAAATCACAAATTAACTATACAAATTGTCAACACCAATCTAGAAAACTCAAAAAAATTGAAGCAAATCACAAATTTTCCATAAATAACATGTTTAATTGAAAGCTTCTTCCTTTCAATTAAGTTTCTTTACTCTCCACTCCATAACATCAACTTCATTCTACACAATTAAAAAGAAAAAATTAGACATGTCTCCACAAACATAAATAAGATTAGTTGTTTAGAATATTACATATACCGAAAAAATTAATTTTATGGGTGGGCGGGTACCCACGGGCCGGGTTTACCTAAACCCAAACCCAACCCAACCCGTTGAATAGTGAACGGGTTTAAACCCAAACCCGGCCCAAAACCCGTCAACACGGATTTTACCCGCGTTGACCGGGTTGGGTCGGGTGGGTACCCGTGGGTTCGGGTTTTGTTGCCATCCCTACTTGTTGATCACCTAGCTCATTTGAGTCACTCTCTTTCTCCGTGTACCCATATTATAGATCCTAGCGATGCTTATATTGGCCACTAACTTTGTATGACTCTGTAGGCGGTTTTACTGTTCATTCAATTAGTTAATGGGTTAATTGCATGATTGGTCACTGAGATTGCAAAAAACGTTCAAATTTAGTCACTATAAATATTTAAATCCAATAGTGGTACTTCAGTTTACATAAATCGTTCATGTTTGGTAACTCTCCGTCCAACTCCGTTAAGTTTGGCTGATGTGGCAGTCAACTCTCAAAGTTTTTTTTTTTTTTTGAGTAAAAGGAGGCCAAAGCCGCAGAACAGAGACAAGCGGGGTGGGGGAGGAAGTTACAGATCGGGAGAAGTCCGGGGAACAGTCACAATGTTCCTAGTGAAAGTGATTCCTCTACAATCATCTCCGATAACACTCTGGATCCCCTGTGGTGGCGCCGTTAAAACACACTTACCGTAGGGGTAGACGAGACTGTGCTTCGAGAGCCAGTCCGCAGCTCTATTCCCTTCCCGATACGTGTGAGCTAACTTAACCACCCAGTCTTGGGCGATCCTACGTCTGATAGCGGCAAGAAGAGTAGCATGAGGGTGGAGGGGATCAGTTCTTCTGTCGATGAGTTGCAGGGCCATCTGAGAATCAGTCTCGAGAATCAGGGTTCTACACCCCTGCTGCCAGGCTATGCCCAGCCCGTGGTAAATGCCCCAGAGCTCAGCCAAAATCGCGGAGCACGACCCCAAGTTGCACACGAAGCCACCTATCCACCTGCCTTCTGCGTTGCGCAGAATGCCCCCCGCACCCGCAGGGCCTTGATTACCATTAGCCGCTCCATCCACGTTCATCTTGTCCCAGCCTATCGGAGGAGGAATCCAACCAATCTCCGTCGGAGTTCTGTGCGCCGGGGCCTGAATACGCCCTAGGATCAGCCTCGGAGCTGACCAAGCCTTGTACCATATGCTCGCCTTGATCCTGATGGCCTGAAGAAGAGAAGGCGGCGAGAGGGTCTTCTCGATCCCCTTAAAAGCGCCCTCGTTTCTGTTCTTCCAGATGCTCCACAGCCCAATGCTAAACACCGCGCTCCACGGAATGTCGCCACAGAGATTATCTTCCTTCTTCAGGTTGTTGGCCATCCAATTATCCAGATTGCTGCTGAAAAAACCTTGGAGATGCTCCGTCGGGATAAGACGCGACCAAGCATAGGCTGCCGGCGGGCAGTCTCTGAGCACGTGAAGGGGGGTCTCAACCTGGGACAAACACCTATAGCAGAAGGGGGAGGAGGACAGGTGTCGCTTGGCCCTTAGATCATTGCAGCTGATCTTGCTGTGCGCGACCAGCCACGTAAAGCATCTCACTCTCTCCGGGACCTGCAACTTCCAAATCTGTTTCCACACCTGGGGCTGGCTGGAGCTCGGAGTGTGGCACATCATCTGATAAGCGCTCTTGGTGGAGAAGCGGCCATCCGAAGAAGATTTCCAGAACAAAGTATCATCCTCGGTAGTAATCGGGTCAACCGCAAGGGCCGTGACTTGATGAACTAGCTCCGCTGGAAGAAGGCTGCTGAACTTCTCCACTTTCCAAACTCCTTCCTCGTCGACGTACTCTCCTACTTTGGCGTGAAGCTCTTCCTCCGGGATAGGGCCGGTAGCCAACTCCTTAAGCGGAACCTGCGAAATCCACACATCAGACCAAAAACGAGTTAGATTGCCTCTATGAATATTCCAGGCACATCCCTGTCTAAGCAGCTCTCCCGCTTTGGAGAAACTGTTCCAGGTGAAGGAACCTCCCTTTACAGTCTTGAGCAGATCGAGGCGCTCTCTGTTCTTCCCATACTTGGCTCGCATGATCTGAGCCCATAACGTCTCTTTTTCGTTCATCAGTCTCCATCCGCACTTAGCAAGCATGGCTATGTTCACCTCCCTGGCCGACCGAATCCCCAGGCCACCCTCCTCTTTTGGTTGAATAAGCTGGGGCCACCCAACTAGGTGCAATCTCCTTTTCTCCTCCGAGTCTCCCCATATGAAACTCCTGTTAATCCTGTCGAGAGTCTTGCAAGTGGTTTTGGGAAGGAGCTCCACCTGCATAGGATAAACAGGAATAGAAGCTGCAATAGCTTTAACAACAGTAGTACGAGCAGCAAGGGATAGATGCTTAGCTTTCCACGGGGCCAACTTCCTTTGGATTTTCAGAACAAGATCTTGGTATCTAGCCCTTGTCACTCTGCCATGGATTGCCATGACCCCCAGGTACCTGCAGTCAACTCTCAAAGTTGACCATTAACTTAGTGACGTGGCAATTGAAAAATAATAAATAAATAAACGAAACTTTCAACCTAACATACATCTTTGATATTTAATACTAAACTCGAATAGACAACAAACGAAAGTTACGAAACCACATACGTTGCTGACATTAGTTTACTACATTCCAATAGGTGATAATGAAAGTACAAAAACTACATGAGGTGGATTGGCATCGATTGGTTTGGAAATATGTTGGCATCGATTGGTTTGATCTAGAGATAATTTTCTCAACAACCTCTATAAGCTGAACAACGACAATGAACATATAGTAACAGTATTTGTGATAGATTTCTCATACTTGCCATTGAAAGCACATATCTACGATTCAACCACATCAGTTTGTTACTGTGAGTTATCTAAGTTGATATGATCGAATAGTTAGTCGGTATCTAGAAATTCCAAGTTCAACTGCAAAACTATGCGTTGTTTTAAATACTTCACACCTAGCATCCCAAGTGATAGAAGGAAAATGCAGCCATATCTACAGCTGATTCAGGGAGTAAGAAGATTGGCAGTCAGCATAAGTTTGGAAAGATAACTCAATGAGGTAGGCATCATAAATTCAATAACCGAGCAAGAACAAACGTTTCAGAGAGCTCATTCCGTTCAAATCAAAAGAAATAAGTACGGAGAACAATGAAACCCAGATATAGTTGTCATCAAACCAACCAACCGAAACCAGAATGGTACTGGGTCTAAGAAACTGACATGAGTGATAGTGCAAATTACATATTGCAGTGAAAGCAAGCCGAGTAGCTATGGTTTGGACAAATTCATAAACTCTTCCTAAATGACCTCAAAAAGAAAGAAAATCCAACCTAAATTGCATACCACAGTCGGAGAACCATGGCAAAATGGCCGTTCAATATGCTACACAAACTCAAGATTTGGCTTCATACTAGAACCTTTAAGAAAGTAATTGATGAGTGCGTAAGGTACACTGTCGGCCTCCATGATCAAGGTCTTCAACCTCCTAAAGGGAGAGGAGGGTTGTTGTTCCAGAAATTCAGTCATACCACTCAATACCTGCACAGAACAAAAGCCAACTTCAGTCCTGAGGGATTAATATTAAACGGAAGTGAACACTTGGACTACAACAATGTTAATCAAAGATTACCTACCCGGATGGTATGAGGACCCAGCGTGAGAGATATTGCATTGTTTAAATACTCAAACAAGGAGATGAAACGTTGCGCGACACATTCCTCGTTCCCTTCCAAGAAATCGTTCATGTCGGTTACCCGAATATCAACATGATCGAGGCAAGGAATGCTTAACTTGGAGAATTTCATGTCTTCTAATTCCGGCAAAAGACTCAAGAACTTGAGTCTTGGTGCGGATATTTCAATCTGTTCCCATGGGTCACAATACACACAATCCAATGTCAGCCTAAGCAACTGCGGTCCGGATATCTTGACAAAATGGGAGCAATGATTCAGGACCAAATTCTGCAGACAGGGACAGCCAGACAAAGGATCCAAGTACTCATCAAGATCATACTCTAACTCGCACAACTCCAAATTCAAAGTTGTCAGCATTCCGAAGCCAGAATGTGCAAACGCCTCATCGATCAAGACACTTTGCAGTTCCAGTGTTGTAAGGTTGCAACTGGAGATTGTTCCAAACAAATCGGAGAACGAGTAATCGCAAGAACAGCTAGTGCTGTTCGTGTCAACCACTAAATGATGCGTGTCATGAGACAAGGCATATTTGATGACCTTACCAAACAGCTCACAATCTAGTTCGTCCGAACCCTCGTTGTCAATGTAGCTTATCTTGCCGACAACGTCGCCAACAGGATCGCGGAGGGACACTACATTCCCACAAAACTCTGGAAACTCGAATACCGGTCGAAGGAACCGCTTCGAAAACTGAGGACGGGGACATGTTTCCAAGCGCATCTCCACACCCGAGACAGTACAGAGGTCTGAACGGCGGATTTGGTGTCTAGAAATGAAAGGATGTGATGAATAACGAAGACTGGGAGATGGCTCAACCTATCAGTATCATCTTCCTCTACACGTCGCCTTTTGCTATTTCCCCCCAATTCGCAGCTAATGCCGATATCGTTCATGACTTAACACCGTCTCGAAAGGTTTTAGAAAGGAATCAAGAGAGGAGAAATCACCTGTCGTCGATGACTATTACAGGAAGGGAAACTCTTGACTGCTGTGCCCGCGCCAAAGAGAAACACAACCGCGATCTATCATCTCCACCTTTCCGAACTACTCATAGGCGGATCTGGATTTAGGGTTTTGTTTGAAGGAAGGGGCGGGCACAGTTCAGACTTCCGCGGGAAAATGAAATGAATTCTCGAATGCCGCCAACATGATGTTGATGGATCTCTATTCTCCAGGTCCCACTTATAGGCTTTTTGTAACAAATGAAGCAGGCCGGGTCTCAAAACCAAGGACAAACGGGATCAAATCCATAGAGCAAGCACTAATGGCCATCGAGGCCCCAAAAGCCCATTGTCCTTCAGCTAGGCAATAGCCCACACTACTGTCCTGCTCCTACACAAAGTTGTCATTCTACCCAAAAAAATTACACTTTGACTTGCTTGTGAGAATTGGGAACAGTGCTCATTCTGTGACTCGTTCCCAATTTGTGCAACTATGTATATTGTATAGGGATTGGTTACAAGCGCTGCTACGGATTGGGAAATCGTCGGAATCGATAAAGCAAGAATACGAAAGCGAGAATCGAAAAACACAGACACACGATTTACGTGATTCACTAATACGATGTGTGTTAGCTAGTCCACGGGCGAGAGAGAGCCAGTTTCACTATATCGAGGAGATTAGAGATTACAGAGAAGTATGAGAAGTATTTATAGTACTTCTCCATGCGGGTCTAAACTTATTCCAATCTGGCAAAGGAAACGGTTACAGACCAGGCCCAGAACCCGAACCCAAATAACATTGAGCCCATACATCGAGACTCCCGATTACCCGTCGTAGCAGCTAATAGTTCGATTCAAGTCACATCAACAGTTGTATAGAGAGGAATTCTGGGGAGAGCTCGAGTCGGGAGAAAGGGCTTGGTTGATGGAGAGGGAATGCGAAGGAAAACGGATAGGATTTTAGTGGAAGGGAAGAAATATAAAAGGAGATAGAGAAGGTTTGGGTTGGGGAAATCCAAGTAGTGAGTTTTGATGACGTGGTGGTTTGGGTGTCCAGGTTTCTGGGTAAAAATTGGGCAAACTGACATTTATTAACCACGTCATAAAAAATGGATGTTTTCAATGGAGTCTGACGAAATGTAACTATTAGTGATCAAATTTGGAATATTAAATGAATTTAGGTGCCTGCTAGTGTCTGGTAGGATAAAAAAATTAAAATAGCAAACCAAAAACAATTTAGTAATTTTAGTGATCAAACATGCAATTTATCACTCTTGTTATGGATCTATGAATTGAGATATTAGTTATTGGTCAATCTTCTCATTCTCTCCAAGAAAAAAGTTTACAAAATAATTTGATTTTTTAGAAGACAATTAAACCAATACCTTTAACAATTTCAATACGATTACAGATACTATTTGGATAAACAGTTTTCGCCTTTGTGTTTAACAGTTCGGTTAACCGACCAATTTAACCACCCCTACAGCCTGAAAGTACGGAGGTAAAATCCTTTAACAAAGTCAAAGTCCACAGCCACTCAGCCAGAGGAAAAGCCAAGATTACAAAGTTCACACAACCCTACACAACAACGGTGATTCCAACAAGAAAGCAAAAACAAACAACACCCATCTACAGACCCTTTAACTTATCTACACATACAGCCAAAAGACCAAAGAGCTAAGCAACCATGGATGTCGGATTTCCAAAAGGGGGGGGCGAAAGTTACTAAAAGGAACCTTTTCTAGTTACGGCTTAAGACAACTGGAAATGAATGAGCCAACGGCCTCCAAAGCATTCATTTCAGATTCTTCTTGGGTTAACCCATTTGCCTGTAGATGCTTCTTCCCTACCTTGAGGGAGTGGTCTCCTCCATCTACAACATACAACTCAGTTTCACACTTAATCTTCTTGCGAACTGCTTGCAGCTTTTCCAGCGGGCACATGCCATCCTTGCTACCCTTTTGTTTCACAGGGAGGAATGGAGAAAGACAGAAGCCTTAAAAGATCAGTTAGTAGATTCAACCCATCAAAACAAGCTTACATAACACAGCATGGAGATCACATACTTAAACAACAGAAACACACTTGATAATTACTGACTTACTGTCTCCAATAAGTTGAGTTGTGGGGAGAGATCGAAATCTTGATCTTATACGATTACCGATCACGAATATCCTTGAGTTCTATCTTTCCAATTACATTTGAAAGGTTCCATAGAAGCAAAGTCAAAACAGATACCTGAACAAACATGATGGGGACTTTAAGTTGCACAAGTGTTTCATCCCGAATCGCTCCCTTACTACCCTGAGAATGGGATGAACATGCATCTCATCAACCATCCTTGAGCAACAAAACTTAGAATGGCAGAGAGAGCTTGATAACCATATCTACACACAGAAGAAAGGCAGGTAGACATGAAGTCATGAACTACAACAAAACCTTGAGTGGGTATCCCAAGCATAGTATCGCCGAAGCTGCAATGTCTTCCTCGGCGGACACCATACAGCTCACCCTACAGCAATCAAAACCAAACACAGACCATGGTAAGCATCGAGATCCTGCCAACCATTTACAAATGAATTTTAGCAGATAATAGAAAATCCAACGGATATGTCCTTAAGCTAAAAATTGTGCAAGACAGGACACCTACCTTGATCCCATAGATTTGCCAGCCAGAATCAGTGGATGTCTAGGATACTTCTCACTGGTCTCTTTAACAATACCCTTGTGAAACTCCACCAATTTCTCCGCCTTTGGAGGAGCCCTCTTCTTCCCACCACACAAATCTGCCAAACACAGTCCAAAGGCATAACCTCCCATTTACATCACAATTCCAACATTGGAGTCCCGGGAAGTTAGTGAAGCAGAGGAAAGTAACTAACACGGATAATCAAAAGTTACTACTTCAACAGCACCCACAGCATTCTTCAACAACTCCTTCCACCTGAATAGTTACGGAAAAAATTACCATCAGCTCTTCAGACAGACGCCCAAATTTCATAAAGTTACTTGAGTTTTTCCCTCTAAGAAACAGGTACCGTAACGATGCTTCATTGATTCGTAACAGTTCATTCAGTTTACAGGGAAAGAAAAGACAGATTGAAAGTTGAAGATGAGAGGAAATGAGAACCTAATCATCCAATCAGAAGACGAAGGAGCACCGGCTCCGTGAGCGAACACGACCACAGGCGGCAGCAACGGCAACGATGGTGTGACCTTTGCGCCTGCGTTTTTCCGCCTACGCTTCGGCGGCGGCGAAGTAGCCATGCTAGCAACTCTGACGATATTTTTTTTCGTCTGTCGAAAACCTAAATTGTGTGGAACGTGAAGCTGTGTAGAAGGGAACTGAATTTTCCCGCCAGGAGTTGATGGATAGGAGATGAAACGTCCCATCGATACTTGAAACACGCGCCACTTTTCATTGGTTCTTCCTTCGGCCTTAATTGTAAGAACTCATCCCAGAAATTTGCAGGCCCAAACTCGGCTAGTGGCTGGTACGGTAGCCCATGATTGTTATCAACAGGCCCCAAACTTGATCTTCTTTTTCTGGCCCAACCCTATGTCGTGGGGGTTATCATGGATTAATGACAGAAAAGTTCACTAATAAAATGGTTTCGACCAACTAGACCCCTTCAAACAATTTTAATTTTCGAATTTACTGTTTCTTAGCTTGCACTTATCTCATGAAAATGCTAGCTTACATAGGTCTACGTTCACATTTATTTTAACACATTTGTATATATTACGATCAATTATATTCGACGGTTATTATTTTTAAATTAAATGAATCATTTATATATTCATGTGGGGAGTATTCATCAAAAAAAATATACGTGGGGAGTTCGAAGTTCTAACGTACTCAGAATAAATATTGGGTATTGCATACCTTGAGTAAGAAAATAATATTTACATATCGAATTGACTAGACTTTTGAACATGATACTATAACATAACCCTTAAAAGGTAAAATGTAGGTATTAATTCTGTAAATTTTATACAACAAGATCATTTTAATTATTAAATAATAATTTTTTTATAGAAATCTGCACTAAACTTTATTGATTTATGGGCACAACTACATCATCAAGTTTCAACTGATCGACCAGAAAAATTGGTGGACGATCGAACCAGACCTCCGCAACATTCCATCTCGTATTTGAATGGGCCATAATATGTGCAGCTTCATTTGCCTTCCGGCTAACATGTCCAATCGTCCCTACTGGAGTCAACGCCAACAGTCGTCTTATATTTGGACAAATCGTCTCAAGCTCTGTATGTAAAGATTTATGATTCATATCATTAGAACCTAGAATTCACTCATTAAAAATCATGAAATTGTATCATATGTCCCAAAATCTAATTAATTTGATGTCTAAATGTCATTTTCTTGCAGAACACTATACTCTATAGTTACCTTAGATACCATAGATAGAAGTCACCATGGTTTGCATGTACAGAGCATCATTCATTATACACACGTTTTGTGTTCTGGAAAAAAGAAAAAAAAAAACAGGTCGGGTCCATAACCATATCTCCCCAACTAATCTCATTTGCTGGATCGATACTCCCACTTGTGTCGGGGATCGAGATTGGATATGGATTTCCTAGAATGTCAAACAAAATAGGGTTTTATATCCATCCCCATATATATATATATATATCTATCTTTTCAGAATCCTTTGTGGCTACAACAACGATCTTCACTAGCTAGCAGATCTTGCCTTAAGATAAGATTTAGATGCCAATTGACATTCGACAACCTAATTCAAAGACAAAAGAAGCTTTTTGATCCTTGCGGATTAAGCAAATATAAATCACTTTCCTGGCCAAGATTTGTTAGAAGGGCCGCGCGCCGCGCACATTAATCATCAACAAAGTCATTTTGCGTAATATTTGATTAAGCAACAAAAGATATAGGATGGACCCAACTTAGTGCATGGCTGGCTGGCTTTTCATGTTGTTGTTTGCTTCTGGTTTTATGCAAAGTCCAATCAGAAGTTCACCTTCTTCCTTCACCCCAATGTAAATTTGACAAATCTCCACTGAGAATGATGGGAACCAACCCTTTTCTCCACGTGTATTCTGGTGGAGAATTGTTGGCAAAATCCAGAGAGTGACCCGTCGTGTACAATTTGGACTAATTTTGATGTAACGGGTCGTTTGCTTCATGTATTTGAAAAATGAGGGTTTTGGAAAACCATGGATATATGATGGATTTGGTGGCATTATGGATTTGAACAAGTCTATTGTTTGCTTGGTGGATTTGATTATGGACTTTGTTTGATTAGATTTGTGGATATTAAATACAAATTACCTAGTTACCTTTATTTAATCATATTTCTATATTATAATCCAAATCTTTCATTTAAAACTAATCCAAAACAAAGAAAGAAATTTTAAACTATTTACCACTACATGGGTTAATAATTCAACTACAAATATAGAAATGTATTATAATTTGGCACTAATTAACAATTCATCTAATAATGTACGCAATATTATGTATCAATTGCAGCCAATTGCTCGCTTTATTGCTACAACTCATCATCTTCTTGCTAACTCACCGATGTGGAATCCGACAATCAATCAAATAATAATGTACAAGATGAGCATAAAGTGTTTATACGTGAATCTAACAAATCACATATACATTCATATTTAAATAAAATACGATATTACAAAATGAAATGATAAATTCTCATATTTATAAAATACGAAATTATAAAAGTTTACAGTTACATGACCATTGAATTAAAGTATGACAAATTTGTAATTAAAGAAATAATTAAGGGTAGAAAGGTAATTTACCATCATGGATTTTAATCCATCACCCAAATCCCGGATTTGGAACCCCAAAAGAGGTGGGCCCCACAAATTCTATCTCCCTAATTCCCTAAGGCAAACGATGGATTTCGGTTCAAGTCCATGATGAATATATTTCTATGACCAAATCCATCACCAAAACCCTCAAGCAAACTACCCTAAGAGTTTTAAATTTGGGGAGAGAATTTTATTGAAGTGGAGTTTTTTCCCCCCTTTTATGGGTACAAATGAAAGCTTCCATATGAGAGTAAAATTTGGCCGTTCAAACTGTAAAATTGTAAATTTCTGCACCAGTGAAATTGACAAGACGATTGCACCGGTAATTTTATTCATCAAAACGATTCTATATAGAGAAATTCACTATTTAGATAACAAAATCACATATAAATCTTCGTCAATTCGAAAATTCCTTTTTAACAAATATTGGCACAAAGATGAATTGGCCCCTGGTTTTGAGCCAGGTTGAGAGGATGGAATCTGGTTTTGGGCAACTAGATGCCAAGTGTTAAGATCTGGAGAGTGGGTGGCCCTATGGATGCCTCCAAATTCTGGATTGGCAACAAAAGTTGGTCCGACAAACACTCCAATTTTATCTCCGTACTCTCAGGGGCAGAAGAAGAACAGGACAAAACCCTTGCTATAAAAATGAGGCAAGAAACTTTGCAACCCCAATCTTCTCCAACACCAAGGCCTCCCACTCCACTTTAAAGCCAATAGCATAGGCCAGTCACTCATTCACCATTTCCATTGGATCATATCAAACCCTTTTCTCTCCTTTGTTCTTGTTCTTCACCAATCCGTTTCCCCCTTCTTTTTTTTTCCTGTTATCTTTGGATTCTTACTCTCGAGGCACTTGGTTGCTCACTCTCCTTCAAGGGCTTCCGCACTCGCTCCACCCACCGAGAGATAATACTCTACCGTGGTGAGTTTGATCGGAGGCTCGATGCTGGAGAGTAAAGAACCTACGTCTTGGTAACTATGTTAGTTGGCTGCTCTGGTTTCAGGCATTCCCTCAATCAACAATACATCCATTGTGCTAATTGAGGTACGTACGTCGTCGTTGATTTGTACAATCATGTGTATGTCAAATGTCATTAGGTGTTTTGCCTCCTTGGTATACCCTTTAACATGTGTTTTTTTTTAATAATTTAACATCTACTTTAACTTAGCTCCTTGTGTTAATTCTATTCTAATTCCTAAGTAACTTCTTGCTCTTGGAAGAGAAGTAGACTACCATGGAGACTTAGTCGTTTTGGTTCGAGTTTTGTCTTCCCTTCTCTTTTTCTTGTTATAGTTATTGCAGGCAGAGCAGAAGGAAATGGAGTACTGAAGTGAAGAACTGTCGAAGTATACGAGGGGACACGCAAGCTAGCTATAGCTAGTATGATTAATTTGATGCGCTCAAGAAAGCATCATTGACGGCACCCTCTTGTATATGTCGACTACATTGTGGAAATGTTTGCTCAGATCAATACCACACATTTATTCTTTATTTAGTGAGATTGATATATAAAGATCAACAATGCACCATCACCATTTGTTATGACGGCCTCGGACTTGTAATAAATGGTTCATCTTGTATGAGATTATTTGAACTGATTCGTGATGCAAAGGCTATTATACAATCCGTAGTATAACGTGGGACATAATATAAGGAATACTTATGTCTCATTTCGTCCCATCCCGTCTCGTTATTGATATGTTCTATCTCAATTTTTTGTTCCATTTATTTGTACTATTTTTCTTAGTTTGACTTTTCTCCAATCATAATTCCATCCAATGAGAATGTGTCTACCACGAATAAGAGTTTGGTCTAATGATAATACCACTAATTTTTAATTTAAAGGTCTAGGTTCGTATCTTTTAAGTTATAGTACTTAAATTATAAAAAGTAAACTTATATCATTATATCATCCTTATAAAATAAAAGAAAATGTGTATCCGATCTGACTTGCACTTGATACAAAGCATGCATGGGTATAAAAGTACATGCACCACCCGCCCATTGCCATCACTTGTGTTTAGAGGTGGCAATTGGATCGGATTCGTGGATTGGATTGGTGGATCCATGGATCAAATGGATTGGATCTAATGGATTGGTGGATTCATGGATTGGATCAAATGGATTGGTGGATTGATCCATGAATCCAAATGACATCCAAGGCTTGGACCAAAATGTAAAATTTGAAAAGTTTTGGTACTAAAATGTCACAATGAAAAATTTTAGGTACCAAAATGTAATTTTCCAATGATATTTTTCGTATAAAAATATAAATTTTAGGTACCAAAATGTAAAATATAAAAAATATAGGTACCAAATCGTAATTTGCCATTTGGATCCATGGATTGATCCATGAATCCACCAATCCAATTGGTTTTGGATCAAATGGATTGGATTTAAATGGATTGGATTAGGTGGATAATTTGGTGGATGGATTGGATTGGATTCATGGATTTGGATTCTAATTGCCACCTCTACTTGTGTTTCATATAGAATTCGGTTAATTTAGCTTCATTACTCTTTTTTATTCATGTATGAGTTGATGATACAAACAATTAAAACATTATACAAGTAATGAACTATATAGATTATAGAAAATAACTTAAAGATGTACCAATAGTATTGGTTAGCATCATTGCTCTTTTTTTTTATGTCAAATACAAGCAAATTCTCAATGTTTTAGTAGTTAGCATTCAAATTCATCAAACCCACACGACATATATTTACCGGTTTGTTTCTTAAACAGACGGATCCCGAGGTTAAAAGTTCGAATTAATAGCAAACACCGAAATTAATCATTATCTCTGTTCTTCCCATATTCTTGCTAAGAATCAAAGAAAAAAATTCACTAATTCTCGACATAGTGACAATGCAAGTATATCATGGATCCAGCAAATTATGGATGCGAAGCATATGAAGCCACCAATCGATCGAGTGAAAATAAATTACACCCAAGTGAAAAGGTTAATACTTGATGGTAATATAAAAAATAAATTGCACCATAATAATGTGTCATTTTCAAGGTGGTTTCTTTTTGTTAATTCCCTTTAACTTCGATATTCAAACCCACTTCAGTTTCATCGTCGTTAATTAGTTGCTCTCTATTAGGGTGCTCAACTGGACTCGAAATCCCCAAGGGATTCCTCATAGCTTGGTTATGGTTTCTTATAGTTTCCGCTGCCTAAGCTTGTTTGAAATTAATCAGCATCTTCCTCAGCTACGATCCGTCCAATGTGGACTTGTACTGGATAATTGTATTAACTACTCTATCTCTCTTATCTATTAACCAGAGTGTAGATTAAAACTATAAGTACACTCAAATTAACCCATGGATTATGCAAGCGTGCTAGCTTAGTGGGTTAGAAACTAAAACATGTTTTATTTTTTATGGGTAGGAATATTTAATTACCGACTTTATTGTCCTCTCTGGTGGTGAAAGTCAAGTTTGGGCGGATAAGTCTAACAAAAAACAAGTTAGTGTTGCTATTACTGCTCGGTCCAACATGGAAAGGATCGGGAAAAATAAATATGATAACAATATACTATTTGGAGAATCCATAAAAGATTAAATTTATATTATTTGCCAAGTGACATCCATCATTTACTACTTGTATGTGATTAAATCATATATTTATAATTATTTAGAGAAAAACTATGCCTATTCATTCATTTCACCTTTTTTTTTTGTGTATAGTATGCTCCAACTCTCGAAACCGTTACTTTTATCATTCAATTATCTCAAAATTATTATGTTGTGTAATTCTATAATACTTAACAAAATATGTGAAAATTTACTATTAAATTATTTAACATTTACTTATTGTGATTCGTATGAAAATTGATCTGTACAAATAACGACAGATAACAAAACAAGTTCACTGGTATAGTATTATAATTACAGACAGACAATGTCGAAATCACGTCGTTGGATTTAAAAAAGTTACATTTTCCTCGACTTTTAAATAATGATGAAAATGAAAATATGCGTAAAATATATAATAAATTTGAAAAATAAATTAATTGATAAGACTTTCCACCCCTCCCTCCCTCGACTGTCCACAATGACCATGATTCAAATCCATCAAAATTAAAAATCTGGATTTATAAAACCATGTGATGGGGGAGAGCGGATCTGGTGACTAGGGGGGTGCTTAGTCACTTGACTAAGCCCCTCCCAGCCCTTAGATCTGGACACTTCAATCTAATGGTTAAAAAGTGGGAAGGGCTATTTAATTAATGACAGGGGTAGTTTGGGTATTATGGAAAATTACGAAGTATACAAACCGGATTTACAATCAGTACAAACCATACAAACATACGAACAGTACAAACTAGAGCGACAAAACATACAAACAGATTTACAAACATTACAAACGTATGAACTGTACAAACAATACAAACTAGACCGACAAACAATACAAACCATACAAAAAGAAAAACACAACCGGGTTGACTTTTGAGGCTCCATCCCTATATAGAGGGGCTCCTTCCCAAAGTCAATCCGGGTGTTTTTTAGACATACAAACAGTACGAACATGGTGGACAAAAATGACAAACTAGACCGACAATCCATACGAACGGGAAAAAACACCCGGGTTGACTTTGGAGGCTCCATCCCTATATAGAGGGGCTCCTTCCCAAAGTCAACCCGGGTGTTTTTTAGACATAAAAAACATTACGAACATGGTGCACAAAAATGACAAAGTTTACAAACATGGTGCACATAAATAACAAAGTTTACAAACATTACAAAAAAACCGACAAACATTACAAAATAACAAAGCATACAAACATTACAAAATATGTCAACAAACATCACAAAATTAGCACTGTCGCCGGGAAATTCTTCTCCGGCGACGATGTTGGCCGGAAAAATTTTCCGACCAGAAAATTTTCCGACCAAAAATATTCTCTCTCTCTCCCTCCCTCTCTCTCTCGTAGTTGAAGTGGGGAATTCCAAAAGAGTTCCCAGCACCTCTCTCTCTCAGGGGAATTCCAGGGAATAATGGCGGATGATGGGAGCCCAGGAATTTCTTGCCCCGGAAATTGGACGGAGACGAAGCGGCGCAAGGGACGGGCCGACGCGGACGGCTGGCTTTTTATTTTATTTTATAATTAAAAGTAAAAATTAAACATGCAATTACTACAATGTCCTTCATTAATTTGGATTAATAGGATTCCTTAGATTTTAATGAGATTTGAGTGGTTGAGATTCAATTAGCCATGTGACTAAGGGGATCCCCTAGTCACCTGATCTTAGCCCGTGATGGGGCCGGGCCAAGGGAACCAACCGTCCAAGGCCAAGGGTAAGAAACTAAGAATGCTATCTTCTTCTTCTTCTTCCCACTTGCCATGTGTCAGAAGAAGTCAGAAGCAAGTTAGCTAGCACCTAGCAGTAGGGGTGGGCATTGGGTGGGTCGGGTGGATTTTGACCATAAAATGCACCCACCCGCGCTTAAACGGATTGATAATTTTTAACCCACCACCCACCCACATTTAGTCTCGGGTTGGGTCGGGCGGATGGTGGATGATGCGGGTGGGTTTGTGGGTTCACCCACATCACAATGTATATAATATAAAGGAGTCAACTTGACATGATAATAGGTGAAGAGAATCATCGAGGGAAACAAGAAGTTGAAATAGGACGAAAAATGTCGAATTAGTTCTTAAATTGGATAGAAATTCTATTATGAAAGAGTTTTCTACAGATTGAGACGATTATTATGTGCAAGGAACTAAGGAAAATAATTCCACAAAGGAAAGAGCGGTGATCTAGGCACAAGAATTAGAGGAAAAAATAAAGGGAAGAAGAGGGGATCTCTATTTGGAAGGTTGGCTTTGAGGTTCAAACTCCAGGAGTAGTCCGAATTTATATCTAACGTCTCCACTCTCCTCTCTCTAGCGCCAACGACTTTGATCTTTTTGCTGTTGGGTTGAGCGGGTCACCCACACACTCACCCACAACCCACCCACCACCCGGCGGATGGCTCCCAGCGCAACCCGTCACCCACCCACAGACCCATCCACTTAACAAAATTCGGGTCAAATGCGGGTGGGTCGGCCCAAACCCGCGGATGATCCGCCCGCATGGCCAGCCCTACCTAGCAGCATTGTAATGTTTTAGCCGTTTGTTGAAAAATGGAAGCCACTTTCTTCTGCAGGCATCTATGCCGGACGTACCTTCATAACCTTAACTAGACAAAGTGAAAGCAGCACTAGTCACAGTCGTCCTCTGAGTAGTCTGATGCACACATCAATCCATTTCCCGTTGGCCCCCCTACTCAACAAATAATGGGGGTTCAATTATGGAGAAGACGAATCTCTAGCCTGTCTACACTCTGTTTTTCTTCACTTGTGACCTAAACTACTCCTTTGGTTCAATCGATCTATTCAGACCAATTAAGATGGCTAGTAGCTTAAAACTATCAATGTTCTTAGGCAATTTTTAGCAGTACAAATGCTTGAATCATTATTAAACTACAATTTCAGCTAATTATTATTTCACTGATTTTTTCAGTACAACCTTTCGCATCAGCTTTATCATGGTTTTAACACAGCAAAATCAAAAACGGGAAAACAGAAAGAAGAACGGAGCAGCAAACAGGCCTGAATAGCTCGTCAATGGACTTGGTGGCGATTTGTGCCCTTTAATCATATGCTTAAACTAAATGGCCTCTCAACTAATTAAGCGATAATTGGGCCTACATTGGCCTGGTGTTGCTGAAGCCCGAAGCCCAACCATTTTGTGTTTCTCGCGCAAACCATCGTTACTGGTGCTACTTAAATATTTGTTAGCGTAACAAACTAACAATGTACAAGCTCGGGATACTAACGGTAGGAATAAGCCATAATAATAGTAATGATAAATGATAATAACAATTAATTAAGAGCCTAGACAGCTAGAGCACCAGACCCTCTCCAATTCAGACGTCGGCCGTCGAGATGCGCCTTAGTTAGTTAAGCAAGCTCTTGATTCTTCTCCACAAGCCTCACCCCTTCGGCGGATCGAAGCACATTGGCCTGTTTGATCACTCACAATTACAGACACATACAAGAGATTGAAGATATTGCAGACGTAATGTTCGACGAAATGCGGAGGTGGAGATATAACGTAACTCCGTACCTGATCTTCGGTGATTTGGACTTTGAAGCCGTCAACGATGACAAGAGAGCAGGTCTTGGTGTAGGTTCCAAGCTCCAAGGTCCTGGACAGCAACGCGTCGTGCTTCCTGCTCAGATACACATCCAGCTCATGCGCCCCTCGCTTCGTCCTAATTGTTTCATTTATTGATTAATCACCATTAACACCCAGGAATCCAGTACAGTTTCAATTAATTAAGAGAAGTAGAGAACCAGCAGATACGTACTACAAAAAGGGGAGAAGTGTGGGTTATTAATACTACTGACCTATCGGCTCGAAGGCGGTCGTACTGAGGATCGTAGTTCATGAACACAAAGTAGAGCTCAGTTGGGACACTGCTGCTGCTCTCCATTTTCGCACTTGCTGCCGCTGCCGCCTTCCTTGTATAATGCTTGCTTGCTTGTGCCTTTGCCCTTATGTTCACACCCATATATATAGAGGGGTAGGGCCAACTGATTACTGAGTGGCCAGAGGTTCCACATGGGTTCCCTCAGTTATAATGTTCTTCCTCTAGTCTAGAACGATATATATCTTTTTTTTCTTTCTGATTGTTAGATTTCTCGTTTTCTTCCTTGACATACTAGTAAGTAGTACCCTTATTGGTGGCCAAATGATAAAACTAATAAAATATTGGTATTTGTTCAATATTACAAGTTTGAATTTCAGAGTCCGACAAATGAAATATAAAAAAATAATTTTCGTTGCATATGTACATTTTGGATCTGACAATAAATAAATAAAAAATATGTTGTCCTTGTACGTTATTTTCAATGGTGGATTTGCATAATGTAAATTTTCTGTAGGTTAGGGTTCAAATGTTGATGAGATGAAATTTCCGTGGAATTAATATATCTTGACTTCATGAGTTTAATATAAGTGCAAGACTAGAATTGAGAAATTAAGGGGAGTATGTATTTTTTTTTTTTTTTAAAGGTGATATAAGTTGTTATATATTTATGTGCTTCTGTACTATTTAAGATATTTGAATTTGAGATTTCTAAGTTCAAAACTATGTTGTATTACCAGAACAATCTCTTCTTCAAGAAAAAAGTAATTAAGGGAAGAATTAGATATTGTGTATAAGGTGGTGGTGGGTGGGCTAGTGGATGGGCGGGTTCACACATATGTTGGCTATCCGCAATGCATGCCACTGAGCTATGGTGGTTTTCATGGCAACATGTAGCTAGCATCATTTCTTCTAGTTAATTATTTACCACTTCCTCATCTTATTTCTTTTTTCTAGTAATTTATATGTTCAATTGTTCATGGCCTTCTTTTGTTTAATTATCATCTCAAGTCAGTTTTTTTTTATCTACTCATAATCCTACATTTCTCTACTAATAGCACTACTAGAAAAAGATCCCTCTGTTCTTGCTGGGTTAGATAGTTTACATTTCACATGATGAAGGCTGAAGCAAGCAACCAACACAGATGGTAATAGCAAATAATTGAGGTTGAACCGTTTTCATAAATTATCATTTGTATTATCTGTATGTAGGATATAATAAACAACTAGGCGAGGGGAAAAGGTCGGTTGAAGCAAAGGGATTTCCAAGTTTGAACGGTCAGAGATACTACCGAGTCCGAGTCCACCGAACATGCATGACGCGGGCCCATGCCCTGGCTACTGCACGTGCGATTGGAGATTAAGTCACAAATATGTGCTTCAACACTAAGTGTAGGATTAGGGTAGATAATTAGTGAATTAATTATTATTATGCTATTATCATCCAAGTGGCATTTCCCAATACACGGCCGACATGAATAGCATAGTGATGACTTCCGGCGTTGACTCTGCATGCCCTCCCCTAATCCATAGGTATTAACAAAGTCAAAGTGCACCAAAACATTACTTATAATGACTTAATCTTAGTCAAACCCTTGATTCGTGCTGCCCGTGTGACCGTGTGGGTGAGCTAGCCTAAGCCTAGTATCATGTGTTAGTCTGATTCTCCACAGTACAAAATTACTGGCTCCCACGTGAAAACACAACTTCATTGACGCTACCTAGCTCTTCATTTCACACTGCAAACTAATACTCAAAAGAGTATGCATCGATCGAGTCATCGAGACGGAGTAACTTGCTATCTTGATAGCTTGACCTTTGGCTTTGATGAATGCACATATGAAGCTAACCATAGTTACATAGCTCAGTTTCACTAGGCAAACATTTGTACTTATTATTCACACTTTGAGAGAAAACATGATCCAGTAAGAGGTTACTTATTTTGGATTTTTATTTGAATAATATGTATTACCAAAGTTTTTTGCTTAAAACAATATACTAGCTATATAGAATGTTAGATGAAACGAACTCTAAAAGAGACAATTATAGAGTTGTACGAGTCACGCCGTCATCCTATGTACAACTCAATTTGTGGCTCATGAGGCCGCCATAAAGACTACACTATCGTAAAGATAGGATAGGAGACCAAAAGACGTGCAAAGCAAGGGCACGCCTAAAGAACCATCGACCACACCTTGATGAAATTGATGGATTGTCTTCTAAGAAATCACCTTTGGGAAACAACAACTAGGAGCGTCATTGTATAGCAGCAGGGAGCTTGACAACGTACTACACACTACGTGTTGGGATATGGATTAATATGCTTAACACGACTATGAAGGGCCCAAGCCCACTGCAATGCGTCCTGGGCCCAAGCCCACTCAAGGAAGCCCAAACCATATCTAAGAAGGCCTAACCTTCCAAGCTAAAGACCTCCTCTCCTATCCACACACTCTCCACTTACGCTTGTCTCTCTAAACTCTCTCTCTCTCTCTCTCTCTCTCTCTCTCTCTCTCTCTCTCTCTCTCTCTACCTTCACGTACCACTATTTCCTATATTGTACTGACTTGGGCGTCAGAGCGTAGATCCCGGGGGCCGCCCCCGCCTCACAGGTTCTTCCACTTTCGAGGAGATCGGACGAGGGAGTCCAGATCGAAGCCCCATAATTATTATGTTAGCCCTGGGAACATTCCAGGATCAAACACTACGTGAGTAGATTATTATTAGAGTCCATAAATCCCGAAGGTTGAACCATGAAGACAAGTTGTATAGACTCTTTCATTTTTCGTAATCATATTATTCTAAGTGGATCATTGTAAGGAGAATTTACAACAAAGACTACAAATATTCAACGAGTGGGTTGCTTGCAATGCAATTAATCAAATGAGACATAATTAAGAAGTTAGTATGCACCAATTGTTGTGTCTCATAAAAAAGGGCACTTTTTTGTGCAGGAAGGTAAGCAAGGCTACAGAACTGGATCAATCGGTCATGGCCAGGCCGTAAACCGTTCCTTCACTCAATACATTTTTAGGCCCATTTAATCAGAAATAAGCTTGCACTAAGCCCATCAGATCAAACGAAAGATAGAGCTGGGCTACTTAGACAAGGCTTTTGCCAGTACAGATGGCCCCTAACAAAAACAGAAGCCAGAATCATCCAATCTCTCCTAAAGTTTACCAAATGTTCATAAATCATACGTTGCAATGCAAGCAATGGTTAGTTACTTTTAGTCCGACACTAAAACGGACGTTGTACCACATATGTTAGTAGTAGAATTTCATATTTGATCCGTGGTTTAAATATGGTTCACTCGTTCCATACAAGTAAATCATATGAAAATTTGGACTCCAGTAGATAATTTGGGTTCGGAATTTGGTTTGATTGAATATCCTTCACCCATATGTATCAAAATTCCATGACCAACAGTCATCTATTTTCTGTCGAATATCAAACGCGCAAAAAACGACTAAGTTTACGGCCCACATCTCCCGTCCAATCCGAACCCCCAATGAGAATAGGAAGACATATCCCGATCGAAAATCGACTCCCTCCACCTTCTATCTTCCCTCGCCACTGCGCCTATATAATTCAAATTTCAACCCAACCCCACCCACCCACATGTTCGTCAAACGTCAAAACCTAATTCTCCCAACCTTCCCGATCAAATTCCAAACAATGGCCCGACCAACTCCCTCCACGGCTTTCTTCTTATGCTCCCTCCTCATTCTCTCCGGCGTCGCCGACGCTCGCTACGATCTCCCCGATTCCCCGGTGAAAAAACCCGCCACAACGACCGATGATCCCATCCTCCTCCTCCCGAGCGAGAAGCCCGCCGCCGCGCACGCGGAAGATCTGCAGGACGCAGCCGAGCCGGCGAAGCAGGGGGAGGGAGAAAAGAAGACGGTGGAGGAAGAGGTTCTCTTGACGGCAGTTAGATTCCGTCCAATCAACCGTCAGTTCGCCATCCGTCCAATCCACCTCGTCCACCGCGGCGGGGCCCAGAGGTGCCACCACGGCCAAATCGTCAGCGGGCTCAGGCCGTGGACCCCGCGTTACGGCCCGATCCGCCACCACCCTTACGGTGGCCAGGACCAGGATTTGAATTCGGTCAATCTGCCGTTGCGATTGGGGCAGCCTGCTGACTACAAGCATAAGAGGCCCGCAGTCATCGATCTCAGCAACGACGTTATCTTCCCTGACGGGATCGAAAGGCCCCGCCGCGGCGATGCCGAGCATCGGAACGAGAACATTGTCCTGAACAAGATTCGCAAGTTTCTGCACCAATTTTGAAGACAGGATGCATCCATGGGAATTTGAATTTCGCCTACACGGCAGGGAAGGGAATTATGCTTCCCTTACAAAAAAGGGGTGTATCTTTAGATAGTTGTAATTACTCTATTATTATTCGGGTTCCCCCAGCTGAACTTGCTCGCTGAAATATGGGCAAAATTTGGCAGCAACCTGTGTTGCCGCCCCTAGCTGCTGCCAGCCCATGTGGCACCTACTGATTGGATGAAAATAAATCTTTTAAATAATTAACTGGTAACCAAAATTGGAAGGAGCAGGGGACGGAACGGAGAAATTTCCGTTATTTCCTTCTTCCAATTAACACGAGGTGGGAGATGGAACATATAGAGATTGCATTATTTTTTAATTAACTTCTACATTTAAGTTTGGGCAATGTCTATTTTTTACCCAAACCTTTTTCGGATTCTTTTATTTTAACCAAACCTATTGAATTCCTAAAAATTATCCAAACGTTAACTCTCCGTCAACTTTTCTGTTAGTAATGCTGACTAAGTATGACCATAATGAGTTGACTTCCTACGTGGCGGTCAGAATACCATCATTTACTATTTTTAATAAAAAGATTATCAAAAAACAAAACAAAATCTCACTCCTCACGTGGACGAAATAAGTAATGGTAACAGAATGAATGCCCAAACTTTGATAAATTATAATACGTTTGGATAATAAATAGAATTTTTATAGGTTTGGTTAAAATAAAAGAATCTGAAAAAGGTTTGGGTAAAAAATAGACATTGCCCTTTAAGTTTTCTCCCGTTAGGTTTGTAATATCCCTTAGGTTTGTAATATCCCCTTCTTATAAACTTTATTTTCGATTAAATTGTAAGTTGGTCACTATATTTAAAAAATTAGGGCTAATACCACTACAATACCCGAACTATCAAAGAAATGCCACTTGTTAAGCTATTTTTTCTTGTAAACCATTTTTATGCTTTCAATTTTTATATGAATACTGCAGAACTATTCTAGTTTAGTACTATTTTCCACATTTTACCGGTTACTTCGATATTGGTGATCATTCAACTTTTGTTGTTCAAGTATAATTAGCTTTATTTTATAGTCTTATAAATTTGTTATTGTGTTCTTTCTTCTAGGTGCGGATAGTATGAGTCATAAAACACAAGGCATGAATAATATGGTTGGGAAAAATGAAATGTCATGTATAGGCATGAAATTTAATGGGGATGACAGCGGTTAATTATGAACTTTGTGTTCATGGTTTGAACGTTTTATTTATACTAGACTTAATTTATTTACAATTAAGCTCCTAAAACTTCATATATACTATCCAAAGTTCACTTTTCCGGGAATGATAAACAGCTAAAACTAAAATTGAAGTGAAAAAATGAAGGCAACTATATTATTTGATAGCTGCTGCTCCTTGAAGTTAATCCCAAACTCTAAAATTTAATTAAAAAGAAATTGCAATCTGTATATGTTCCATCTCCCACTTCTTGTTAATTGGGAGGAGTAAATAACGGAAGTTTTCTCCGTTCCGTCCCCTGCTCCTTCCAATTTTGGTTACCAGTTAATTATTTAAAAGATTTATTTTCATCCAATCAGTAGGTGCCACATGGGCTGGCAGCAGCTAGGGGCGGCAACCCAGGTTGCTGCCAAATTTTGCCCCTGAAATATTTGCTTTCAACTATTTTATTGTAATTAATTTCGGTATGAAATGTATTGCCTCCGTGTTATAAATCTGAATCGTCCCAATCCCTTTTCAGCCGGCGAATGCCGAAATGAGCTAATTATATGGATATTACGATGAGATTGATAAATTTACAAAATGAATTAATTGAATTTGGTATTCGAAACCCAAATCAGAATAGACATTGATTTGATTTTCTACCTGATTATTATATGCAGCTATTTTTGGTAAGATAGCCCATTCATATCCAACGAAAAAAAGATATAGCCCATTCAGCTGTTGTATTTTATACACATTCCGGCCCATTTAATCGCAGCCCAAACCATAGTCCGCTCTTTTCTTGTTCGGCTCCCGCGCACTAGATTAGAAGTTAGTCGAACGAACCGCCGCCGCTTTTCACCTTGGTCGCCTCTCGAGCAACAATGGAAGGAGAAGAAATGCAATTCCATGCGGCGGACGGAGCCCTGGCCGAGTCTGGAACTAGCAAATCCAACGAGGCATCCTTGCAGAAGAAGCACCAAGCGATGATCGATCGACTGTCGAACCGCCATCAATCGCGAACCGGAGGCAGCGGCTTCAACTGCACCAGATCCGCCGAAGATGATAACTCCGTCTCCACCGCCGCCTCCTTCGCGACCAAATTCTCCGAGTCCAAGCGCTCGATCGAATCCCTCCTTGCCAACTCCTCCACCGTCGATCCTTCCGCTCTCAGATCTCACCTCGACGGGATCTCCTCTTCCATCGCCGCGCTAGAGCAACTCGTCGCCGAGAGCTCCTACTCCCTCCCTTCCTACGAGCTCCGATCCGGCCTCAAATCGGTCGCGGAACTCAAGCAGGCGGTGGAAACTCAGAGCGCCGAGCTTCTCCCGAAGAAGAAGTTCTCGTTCAGGAACAAGTCGGCCGCCACGGCCACCAAATTCCCAGCAGCGGTTCAACCGAAAGATCCCGGACTCCCAAAGCAGCAACCGCCGGTCCTCGTGATTCGAGATTCGCCGGGGTTTCGGAACGCCAAGGAGGTAACGTTGACGAAGAATTTCAGAGGCTTGGGAATCGGTGAGTTTACTGTTGCCGATTTGGATGGTTGTGAAGTGAGATTGATTGGCCGCATCAATGCACTGTTCTTCAATAGATTGAGGAACTGTAGGGTTTACACCGGTCCGGTTATTGGTTCGGTGTTGATTGAGCAAGTCGAGAACTGTGTTTTTGTGTTGGCGTCTCATCAGATCAGGATACACGATGCTAGCGGGTGTGATTTTTACCTTAGGGTTAGGAGCAGGCCGATTATCGAAGATTGTTCGAGGGTGAGATTCGCGCCTTACTGTTTGAGTTATGAAGGGATTGGGAAGGAGCTGAAGGAAGCAGGGTTGGGAGATGAGAGTGGGAACTGGGCAAATGTGGATGATTTCAAGTGGCTTAGAGCTGTTCAGTCGCCTAATTGGTCGGTTCTCGAGGAGAGTCAGAGAATCAAGTGCTTCGAGATTAATGAATCCACCATAGATGGAAATGAGAATACCCGAACAGACTGCAAACCCTAATCCATTCAGTCTTCAAGAGGTTGTTTCTCTCTCATTCATTCTCCGTCGTGTTTCCTTAAACGAGGTTCGGATGTGGATGGGATTCGGGAATGCTAATCATAATGCAGAACTCCTGAGTCTTGTCCAAGAAGAGAAGAGGATTCATATCGCGGTTTTGGTGCATTGCTGAAGGAATAATTAGGTGTCTCTGCTGTTTATTTTGGCTGTCCAGCTCTAGTTTACGGATCAATTCCCTTTTCTAGCCCTCTGTGAAGTGCGGTGCTTGATCATGGGCTAAATTTGGTTGGGAATCCTGTTGATGAAAGGATTTATTAAGTCGGGTGATCAGTTGAGGATGGATCTGGGATCCTCTGTAATTGTTATCCTTATTTCATTGACCATAGATTTCTCAATTAGATCTAGGTCGTGTTTCCTTAATCGATGTTGAAGGTGGGTAGGATTCGGAAATGCTAATCATAATGCAGAACTCCCGAGTATTGTCCAAGAACAAAGAGGATTCATATCGCGGTTTTGGTGCATTGTTGAAGAAAAACCTAGGTGCCTCTGTAGTCTGTTCTTTATTTTGGCTTTCTGGCTCTCGTTTATGGAGTGAACTGGAAGAAGGTTGCTGTGCAAAATGAGAAGGAAAGTTTGGAGGCAGGCTGTTTAGCCCATTACGAAGTGTGGTGCTTGATCTTGTGCTAAATTTGATAAGGAATCCTGTTGATGAAGGTTTATGAAGTCAGGTGATCAGTTGAGAATGGATCTAGTTATACATTTCTGTGTTGATTTAAAGGAGGTTCAAAATAGGATTTCTTGTGAGTTGAACTGGAAAGTGCAGCTCTTCAGTTTACCCATTGTCACGAGTCGGAGTTCACGCTCTTTTCTTTCAACGATTCCTGGTTGTTTTCCTGATTTCATGGAACATGGATTTTGCAAATAGATCTTATATCATTCTATTACGACAATGAATAATGTAATAATAAATTTGAAGCAAACCAAGAACTGAAAAGGGCAGGATATATAGCCAGTTTGCTTTACAACAACACTCCAGATTTCTGAAAACTCATCGAAATCGGAGCTCGATCGATGGTGAACAAAGGAACTGAAACTAATTGATCAGAGATTTCGGAAGTGATCGGAGCAACCACCGGCGCCATTAGTGGAAGCGAGCTCGAAGCAAGGGGAAGGGCTGACCTGAACGGAACCTTCGCTGACATCAGAGCATTTCCATGGCGGGGTATTGGATCTCGTCCTCTGAGCGCTGTGGAGGTTGATATTCGATAAGCAGACTCCCTTGAACGGAGCATCCTTCAGCCCACGAATCAAACCAGGCTGAATAACCCTCTGACCCCAGATACCGTTGAGCCTCACCCCTTTGACGGCGGGGAGAGCGTTCGGGTTGAAGTTGCCGTCCGGGTGGTCGCCGACGTCGCCGGAGATTTTGATCCCTGTTCGGACGTCTTCCATGTAGACGTGGGAGACGGTGATGTTCCTGATGAAGCCTCCCCTGCCCATGTTGGTCTTTATGTGGATCCCCACGCCCATGTTGTAGAGGTTTATGTTCTCGGCCAGGACGTTCTTCACACCGCCGGAGGTTTCGCTTCCGACTGCGATCCCGGCGAAAGGGGATGAACCCGTGATCCGGCGGATGGTGATGTCTGTGCTGGGGCGGCCGAATGCGATTCCGTACTCGTCCCAGCCGCTCTTCACGGCGACGAGGTCGTCGCCGGTTGAGATGTAGGAATCTTCTATGCACACGTTGGAGCTTGAATCTGTGTGGTTTTTTGAGAGTGAATTCATTCGAGTCGATTGAGTTCTGTAATTAGAACTAGAAGAAGGAACAATAATGGGATGGATTTCTACCTGGATCGACTCCATCGGTGTTAGGAGAGTCATGGGGAGCCAGGATGGTAACGTATCGAACCACAACGTTGCTGCAAATCATAAACCAAAACGTTAAAAGCCCAAAAAGGAATCAACAAAACCAGAACCAGTATCGGTAAATATACAATAAGAAGAAGTTGAGGAGATGATTTACCTGCTATAAACAGGGTGAATGTTCCAAAAGGGAGAGTTCTTGAAGATGACGTTGGAAATGATTATGTCACGTGAATTCATGAACTCAACGAGGCTCGGTCTGGTATACTGAAGCGTTCGCTGCCTCCACATATTCCACCAAACATCTCCTTGCCCGTCAATGGTGCCATTCTCGCCTATGGTTACAACAACACTACTTCATGTCAGTTAACAAAATCTAGCATAAATGCTCAAATGTCGGGGGACAAAACCCTACACACACCAAAAGATAGAACATGCAACTTGGAAGCTTGCATCCAGGGCAGGCATGAGTACATAACAAGCAGGGAAATGATAGCCTATAGTCTTCGACAACCAACCAGAAAAGATTGAGCCAAGACCATGCAAAAAAAGTCCTTACTTACCTGTTATGATCACGTCGTGCACTCCATCCGCATGAATGAAGCTCATGTACCTTGCACCAGGGAGTTCTCTCCCTCTTCCATAGGATGGCAAAGGAGCAACCAAAGGCCAATTCCTAGTTTCCTGGACCACCAACCAGTGTCAAAAACTTGTCAGAGAATGCTTGGAAACCATCCAAAAGTCTCATGAGCTAGCTAGCAAAACTAAATAAGACAAGCATGGGTTAGCTGCAGACTGCAGTGCTGCACAAACATGCTAACAAGACAAAAACTTTACACATACCAAATATGGAGCAGCAAACCAACAAGGAAAGAAAAACTAAGCTACACAAAACAAATGAATCTTAGTTGAACTTCAGAAATGTATGGCAGAAAACCCCGGGAAGAGAAAGCAGCAACTCAAGAAAAATCGCATCCAGCCTTCATAATTGCTGTTTATTAAAGAACGTTTTCCCTTCCTGGGATCCAGTAGTAATATCGGAAACAAGTTATTTAGCTCTGGTAGAGATAAAAACAGAGGCCGCTGTCTTCAGTGATGAATGATCCCAAATCTACAATCCTCATGCTGGATCACATGATGGTGGAGCCAAGTGAACATTGTTGCTGTGGTATTGGTATGGATGGGCAATTGGGCATTAAAGAAGTGTTGAAATTACTCTGCCAGCTATTCGTTTGTCCAAGCACCAGAGCACAGTTGCCCCCTTTTCAGCAATTAATTAAGCCGCTAAATGTCAGGCACATGCATCGACGGTCTGTCAGACCCACCACCAAACCAAATAATGAGGCCCAAAAACCTATAATACATAGCACAAGAGTCCGCAAATAAATCCGAACAAACCTCTTCTTGGGTCTCGATTGATGAATAATATACTAGATGAGGTGTTTCTACGAAAGAACACAATCAAAATGAATCATATATTATCGACCATATGTATGGGGTTTTGTTATATAAATTAATTATAAAAGACGAATTCGGTACTATATATAGTTGTCTTTTTTTATAAAACTATATATATAGTTATTTCAGAGGAAAAGTGCGTTCATTATTAAAAACAAAATGATGTTTGTGAATTAGGAATTTGTAAGCTTTTCAATCAAAATTATAGATATTGATTCAACATGTATGTTTTAGAAATAGATGGAACCTATCTATGGCAGCACTAGAATTTCTAGAAATATACACTACTAGTATTACTATATTGAATTATTGCATCGACGATTAGGAATCGTGTAAACACTCGAAATTCAAGATGCACAGACAGATAAGTACATTATCTTAGACAAAAACATGTAATATAGTTGGAATACAGAGGCCATAAGAAAACGCTTTTGCAGTAATAATTATGCTTCATATGTTTCCCAATCAACGACTTTACTGACGCACTTACTTAAATAATGTACTTCCTAAAACCGCTAATTGAGGGATGTGACACCCCTATGAGCCGCTTTAATTTATTATTTATTACTTGCTATAATTTTACCCAACAAAAGCATCATTTGTACCCATGAACTTAAAGGCTTAAATTATTTTAATTATGATTATAATATTAAGAAAAATTACAATTTATATTAATATTTGGTTTTATGTGATATTAGGAAAGCGGTTTTATGTGATATTAGGCTCAAATCTGAAATTCGCACTAACCAGTCATTAGTCAACCAAAAAAAAAAAAAATTAAACGAAACTCGCACTAACCAGCTGATAAACGGTGATCGCATCCTAACCTAAACATCAGATTACCACAAACACTAATGAAGTTGTTAAACCAGCTGATCATAATTAATTCCAGTTTCAAGAAAAATGTTCACATGTAAATTCAACAATTAATCAATTACCTAAAAATGGGGGAACAGGAAGACACACCTGAGTGGCCTTGATAACGGCGCCTCGAGCCAAGTAGAGGGTCATGCGGCTGGTGAGGTTGAAGCTCTCCGTCAAATACTCCCCAGGCGGTATGTAAAGCAGAGTGCCGCCGCGCCTCTTCAAATGCTGGATCCGGTAAATCGCCTCCCTGAACGCCTTGGTATTGAGCGTCTTCCCGTCGCCGACGCCGCCGAAGTCCGCAATCGATATCTTGTCGTTCCGGTACCTCATCGGGACTATCCCGGAGCAGGTCGGCACTTCGCCGGCCGTGCCGGTCCAAAGCGACGCCGCGGCGGCGCAGAATAAGAGGAGGAGGGAGAGTGGGAGCGGGGACATCTCTTTGGGTGAGGAAATCAAAAATCAGAGGCGGTTGATGATGGATAACTCCAAAAAATGCTAGATCTGATGAAGAGGGGGAACGGTACAAGGAGAAAGCTCCGAAAGCGAAGTTTCGGAGAGGGATTAAAGAAATCAGAGAGAAAGAGAGAGAGAGGAGATGGTGGTGTTGTAGATGTGTATTTAGAAGGAAGCCATTAAAGCTGAGCTTTGTCTGAGAGTGTGAGTGTCTTCAAATGGAGGAATGGAGAAAGAGAGAGAAGGCAAGCTCTGGATTGAGACACCGACTTTGTGTTTCTGAAGGGAAAGCAGAGAGAGCTGTAGCAAATGAGCACAACGGAATGGACCAGAAAATTTCTTTGTTTTTCTACAATAATAAAATGCCAATTTTGTGCTTCAAAGTTTTCTAATTCTAATTACTAACTCATTGATCTTGATATTGAAATATGATGGCTGGTTAATTTCTACCTCAAAACAGTTTATTATGATAAATGATAATATTGTAATAATTTTTTCATTGTGACAAATTATTTTAACTTAAATACAAATTGGAAAACACTTGATTGTTACAAATGATTTTAGCTGAAATAAAATGCTAGAACAATTGATAAAATGAATGTGACATATTTCGTAGAAAATCCAATGTTAATACATAAGTATTTCACTTAAATGTCATTAACATGAATAGAAAGTACTATACATTTATTTTATCCATGATATTAATAGAAAGTACGATAAGGCTGGGTCTGGCGGCTTGCCTAACCTTGACCGTTCATTAGCTGGGCCTCAGCTTTTGACGAGAGCGCAAATCCAACCCACCAAGTTATGTGGGTTTTATTGAAACCATTACAATGGGCTCAACATTTTACCGAGCCCCGTCAGCGTTTAGCGCGGGCCGTGGCCCAATTAGGGTCCGACCACCGTATTTAGCTTGTGGTGGGTCATCTGGGTGACAAGAAAAAGAATCCAAGTAACCGAAGAAAATGCTTTTATAATCACCCAATTGCTGACCTGAATAAATCTATCAATTAGGGCTAAAACAACCTCATGGTAAAATGAGTAAATGACCATCTTGGTGACACATATTTGGCTCAACATGCATCATCAGATAGACACCTGGCAACCATTCAGCGAAGCATCACGTGCCTTCCCCACTTTAAAAACTTAGTGTTGACACCTAAAATTAATTTGGCCGAAATTAAATGCCGCATTAATTAGTCTCGGCGTTTAATTCGATAACGGTGTCGTTTGGAGTTGAGCGGCGCCGTGGAAAATTAAAACGGTACCGCAAGGGAGCTCGCCGGTACCGCGTTATGGGAAACGACACCGCTTAATGAAAAACAAGAGGGGCCGTGCGTGTAGTTGGGTTGGAGAAGGGAGTTTTATAATTAAATATTTTTATTCCTCGTCGGAAGAGGAAAATCGGCGTCGTGGAACATTAAAACGGTACCGCAAGGGAGCTCAGCGATACCGCGGTTCTGGAAACGACACCGGGGAATAAAGAAAGGAGGGCCGCGCGTATGGTGTCTTGTGGGAGAAGGAGTTTTGTTTTAATTAATTAAATATTTTTAATCCGTGTTGGAGGAGGAAAATCGGTACCGCGAGAGCTTGGCAAGCGGTACCGATGGGCAAGTGACTAAAATTCACACGGCCCAATGCGAGTGCCGACTCCGGCGGTACCGTGGATTAAATCGGCGGTGTCGTTTAATTTAAAAACGGTACCGCGAATTAGCAAACGACAGTGTTTAATAAAAAACAATGTCGCAAAAGGAAAAACAAACGGAACCGTTTTGGCTCTAACGATGTTGTTGGTCGTGGACTAGTGATGGTCTGTTAATTAATATTTTAATGACTTTTTAGCACGGTGTCGTTTAGTTGGAAACGATGCCGCAAAGGAAAGAAACGATACCGTGAGCAGGCCAAACAATGCCGCGACCGTTAAAACGACATTGTTTAAGATTAGAACAGTGTCGCGAAGCTCAGAAATTCAACGACATCGCGGGACAAGGAAACTACGTTGTTTAACTAAGAACGACGCCGCGGAAGGTAAAAACAACCCTGCGGTACTAGGAAGCAAAGAAACGACATTGTTTAGTCAAAGACAATGTTGCAAGAGTTTAACAATGTAGTGAAAGCGATGCCGTTTTGCCCAAAACAAGGTCGCGAGCTCGACGACGTTAATGAGCTTTAGTTCGGTGTTGAGAAATTCAACAACACCGTGAATTCAACAAAGTTGGGCATCAATGGGGGGAATCCGACGAGGCCGGGATGATAAAAGCTACGTCAATGTTGTAAGCCATGAATCACCATCGAAAGTGGCATTGATATTGTGAGTGCATCGATGTTGCAAGGATGGGGAGCTCAGCGTTGCGGTGTTGTTTGTCATACGCCGCCGTTTGGCTTGAGGAGTTGGGGTGGATTATCGAACCCGGGTGGATAATTACAAGGGTGGCTCAATGTCGTTTTGTCAAGTTGCTACGTAGCAAAGCGGTTTCGCACTCGTGGGAGTTACGCAACAAGGAGGAAGTTACCTGCGCGGTTGACAGGAGTGAAGACGTGGGAGACAAAAGCGCGGAAGCAGTTACTGCGACGAGAAGAAGCGCGAAGTATAAAGATTGGGGAGAGAGAGAAGTTATGGACGGCAAAATCAAATCACAAACTGCACCGTCGCAGATTTTATCTTTTCTCTCTCTAGTTCGTAGAACCGCTCTGTCAAAGAACTCCTTTGCAGAGTCGTAGATCGTAGCTTGTAGTCGTAGTCGCGGAGCTCTCCAGAGGAACCTCCATAGGAGTAGAGGTAACGTAACTTAGAACACTCCTGGTTCGATTCTCTGTTTATTCGTCGAACACCCTCGTTCGAACGTAGTTTGGAGAGGTGTTGAACCGAATAACAGTTGTTTGATTAGAGGTCAAAGGTGTATCGATCAAATCAACGACGCCGACACCGGCGGCGGCCATTTGACGATCGTCTTGGTTTCTGCTTTAATCGATCAAATCAACGACGCCGACTTCGGCGGCGGATATTTGACGATCTTTTGCTGATTTTGTGTGTTTGTGTTTACTTGAAACCAGTGCACATTGAACACGCGAGTTTCGCCAACGAAACACTTAGATTACCAATTGATGAATCACAAAATTATTGTTCAAGTTACTTGGCTTCAGGCTTCAGCGGTAGCATAAATATTAAAAGCAGATTCCAATCTAGCCAGGACTAGCATGAACACTGCCCTACTACTAATAACCTAATAAGTAACATGGCCTCAATGTTCAATTATTCCCCAGCACAGATTCCCAGGAAAAATTCTCACTGTACACATGTTTTTAAAAAAAAATTTCAAAATACACATGTTATGAAAAAAATTCCCAATCTACACATGTTTGGGCCTTCACCGCGTCAGACTAAGGCAAAAAGTTATGGGAAATATTGAGGACTGCAATTTTTAGTCTGACGCGGTGAAGGCCCAAACATGCGTAGATTGGGAAATATTTTCATAACGTGTGTATTTTGAGATTTTTTTTTAAAAACATGTGTACAGTGGGATTTTTTCCCAGATTCCCCCCCCCCCTCCCTTCTAAAAGGGTGTTGAACAATGTTCCCTTACGTTAAACACGACAAATATAGCCCCTTCAAAACGAGCATATGTGGCCCAATATTAAATATCGTAATCGGCTAACAAAATTACATATGAACCTTGTGAGCTACACAATAATCTAAACAATGGTTTTTTATACAAATATGGATAACACAAACCAACACTCGCACTTCAATGTCTGAAAGAGGACTAAACCATCTCAAACTCAATGACGTCTTTCTTACTTCTATTCTTAGAGTGTCCTTTTGGTTGTGGAAAATATGAGGAACCAGACTACCATAACCAAAGCGGGGAAAGCTCATGGGCTGCAGATTCTCCCTCTGCCCATACTTTTACCAATCTTTACTTTGCCTTTACAAACTTTTCAGACTCCACTCTTTTACAAAAAGTCCATTCCACAAATGGGCCAAGATTTATTAAATTCACTGAACTTGATACCCATTACCCACCCACCCATACCTTCCTTCGGCTTTTTGGGTTGGCAAACACACAGCCGTCAGTCTTGTCTCCCACCTCAAACCTCCCTCTTTGGGTACAAGGTTATCAATACTTTAGTTAGGCCCTAATGTGCTACATGTTTGGAGTCTTATCTAATCTAATTGAATGATTTGTATTACAAATAGTCTCTCTAGGACTAGGTCTTTACCATCTAAATCCATTCAAATCAAAAAACAAACCAGATATTTTGGAACCAACATGACTCATTCGGAAACTTGCACAATCATTCAATCTAAGAGCATGAATTTAGAAATGATATCCATTGCATAGAAGCACATGCGTGCATAATCGACGAGAACTAGTGTCATATTTGGTTTTCGATATTGTAAGCATCTCGTCAATTAATAATATTTTACATCAATGGTGGAGCTAGGTTGAAACTAGGAGGGACTAGACTATAGTCCCCACTCAATTTTGAAATATAGGTAAAATTACATGTAAAATTTGCATACATTTAAGAATTAGAATAGCTAGCATGGCTTTAGCCCCCTTCTCTCAATTACGACAATTCAAGTCAGCCCTCCCCCTTGCACTCGGTTGGATTTCTGACTTCGCCACTGTTTTACACCACAACTTGCATCACAATATTACTATCTAAATATAATTACTCATACGATAATATTTTATTGAGATCGGCTTCTATATTTATGATGTTAGCATGATCAAACACCATGAAATAAAAATCCGACTCTTTGGCACCTACAGAAGCTTCTTGGTTGAACCAAATACTACTTGGCAACTACTAGGGGAACACCTTCAGATAACCCTGAAAAGGGGGTAACGAATATAAGAGAAGTATCTGATCCATGGCCAAGTAGCCCTCTGCCGTTTCACTTGAGCATCATTCTGCATCTCTGTTACTAAATCCTCCACCACTTTCCCCCACTCGGCCACTTTCATTTTCAAATCCACACCACCAATCACACTCACTCACGCATTGCCCGCTGCCAAAATCTCTGCTCTGGTTCGTATCATCGCCAACTTCATGAAGTTCACGAGACTTAGATGAACAGTTTAAAAGTCAAAAGCTCCCTCACGCTCTCTGAAAAGATCCATCATGTGAACCCAAATCTGGAAACTCCAATCTACCCTCTCAAATCTTCAACCATTATGACAAAAGCAGATTACTACGACTGTAAAATCCACTTCCCGTGTGACTGAGCACAATGCATGCAAGCTGGGCTCACGAGAACACAAATATACAGAGGAAAAGACGAGTTCTTGATTCTTATCATCACGGAAAATACAAAATATTTACAGTCAGAGATGAAGACATACTCCGTGTTATTGAAGTACCAGAAAGGGTAACAAAATTCTAGAGAGTGAATCTGCCTGTTTGGTTTTTGGTGTTTTTCAGGAAAACCCTAGTATAATAGACAGTCGATAGATAGATGACGAGGAGGTTGACAGTAGTTAGCTGGTATATAGACAAATCACAAGGAGCCAGCCAAATGGAGAGGGTAGAAGGAGAAGAAGAGGGTGATAAAAACAGGAAGGAACATCGACTTAGCCAGAAGAAGGTTTTACCAACACTTACAACCCCTTATGTGAATATGAAAATGAAAAAAAAAGAACTAGTTTGTTTGTGGCTTCTTCCTTCCTTTCTCCATGGGCATTGACATCCAAGAGAGATAGAGAGAGACTCGGGTTTGGGATATGCTTTTCTCAAATCCTGTCTATCGGCTCGGTCTGGTCTTGCACAGCCAACCGCTCCGAAACCTCTGCCAATGACTTCAGGTTGCATTTGATCAGAGCTTCGATGAAGTAACAAGTCTCGTCCTTCGTATTCCCTTCTGGAACGTCCACCACAAATGACTCGATTACCATTGTGCCTGGTCTCCCGTCGATGACCTCTGGATGGACTGAGACCGTGGACGAGTAGTTCTGTAAAAATTTTAAGGCAAACAAATGGCAGATAAGTTAAGGCAAACAAAGGCCAAGAGCTGGACAGCTAGTTCATGATCGAAACATAAGTCGAAAGATATCAATATAGATGGATAGTAGCAAATGGGTGCAAGGTCATGGACATCAATGTTAGATTATTGTAAGTCAAGAAATTCCTTCTTAAATGTAGTTGATATGTCAAGGAGAAGAGGATTTTGCACAAAACCATTGTCTGGTGGAACCAAAACATGTGCAAACTCCATGGGCTTCAAAATTCATGTGGGTTTCTGAAACTCATTACGACTAACAGCCTCGTCCATTCATCTCTAAAAGTACTAGTGATCGTATTCAGGGCAATTCATAAGTGTCACAATCCAACATCCAAATGATCCCTCACAAATTTCTTTTCGGAAGAAGCATTCGACAGACCAAGTGAGGAACTAATTGGCTAAACTACAAAGAACGATTCATTGCTAGCAGTTAAGAATTATGCACTACTTTCCTAAATAATACCAGTTGAAGTACCAGACACTCCTAATCTAACCATCAAAATTCCTTCACCCAATTGAAGATTAGCATGCCTAAAGCAGCAATGCACGATGAAAGATGAATCCTCATTAAGTGAGTGGCGAAGTTGGACGGAACAGCAACATGGGAAACACAAAATGACAAGAGAGAAGTTCTGAAAAAACCCAGAAAGAAGCATCAAAGCAAGTACCTTGAGTCTGTGATCTCCGCCTACAATTCTCATGGCTATGATATGTTCCTCATCGTCGAGTTGCTCCAATCTCTCGGTGCTAGTAGTAGCTGGAAGCCCTGACTTCACATTCACTTCCCTAAGGCTACCAATCCCAAGATCTCCCTGCACAATACACCTACTAACAAATGGTTTATACTTCTGCGGTTGATCAAATCGCCTCACCAATGACCACACCTGACAAATTTCGCCAAGCAAACACCCAAAAATCAATTCAAACACCGGCGGGAATATAGTGTAGCAAAATCCAAACGAATCGAAAAAACAAAACAGAAAGAAACAAATTGAATCGACTAACTGCAGCAATTCCCCCCAACTTCAATCCGCCTAAACCCTAGTCAACTAGATCCAATTTTCCTCATCCCAGCCCGAGTTTTCTCATTCCAGATGCGGATATTCATTCCAGCCAGAACTCTTCCGAAAAGGAATCGGGATTCGGGAAGTAGCAAATAGCAATTCGAATCGGAATTTCCAGCAGAAAGTCAAATCGGAAACCTCCAAGGAAAGAGGAAGAAAAGACTCTGAAAAAAAAAAAATTTTGAAGGAGGAGAGGCTCACGAGATGGAGAGGAGCTTTGACGTGCTTAACGAGGGAGGAGCTACACTGATTGTCCTGAACCTGGTGGTGATGGTGCCTTCTGATGTACTCGTCCTCCACCCTGCTACACGCATTGCCGTTGGGGACGACGACGCAGTCGTCGTCGGCCCCCATGGAGGCGGCGAAGAAAGCCACGGTGGACGACGGAGGAGGAAGATCAGAGGCGGAAACCGGGAGAGGAGAGAGAGATAGAGAGGTGAGAGAGAGGGAATCGGAGGAGGAGGAGAGAGTTGTCAACGGAAGCGTCCAGAAAGCACCGCCATGGGGGCACTAGTAGGACTAGCAGCCCATCCAATAGCGAAAGGTCCAGAGCTCCTCATCGTTTTCCCCCTTTCGATTAATAATAATTAAATATAATTTATTAAATGATAAATTAAAAAAGCCCCCCCGTAAAGAAAATAGTCGCAATAAATGGCAACTGGGCCCTTTTCCTTTTTCTTTTTCGCGGGTTTTAATTTATTCGCAAGTGTACTTTCTTGCGGTCTCGTTGCTTTGGCGTTTCTCTCGTCTCACCCTCTTTTTTCATACCAGCCAAGCCACTTGCTCTCTATTTCCAACAAGTTTTCCAACAGCTTAATGACTCAATTTGGAACCGGATGGCAATTTGATCCCGTTCCGTTCAGTATTTATCCAACTGATGTCGTCACCAAGAAAATTAATTAATTAATTAAGCCATGTACAATTCCACTTCAAACATTTAGCATTTTTTTTTTTATAAATCGGATCAAATAACAAATAAGAGAAGGAAAATATATATAGAAAATGGGAGTTGGAAATGGAGAAAATAAAAATAGCCTACTACCTAACCATGGTATACACGGCAGATAGTAGTAGACAGACACCAAATGACGAGAGAAGGCGGAGGTCTTGTGGCGGCAGTTGGGAAGTCGGCTTCGCTTTCGCTGCGAGTCAACTTCCTCCGCCTCCTTCGATCTAATCCTCATCTCATCTCCAGCCACAGCCAGCTCCTACAATTAGCAAAAATAAAATCATGCATTATTCCAAGACCAATCCAAATTTAGAAAACAAACTATCAACTTCATGATTACACTCCGTATTGATTTATTTTGCGCACAAGCATGGCAAGACTTTGATTGGTCATTTAGTTAATCCGGTGCCATTTTCTGATGTAGAGTTGGAGATATTTTGATGAATGAACTGAGTCATTGGTGTTGGAAGTAAAAAAAAAAATTATTGTGTGATTCTGTTTTTTTTTTTGGTTCGGTGATTGAAATTCGGTTGGAAAGGCTCTAGTTTTTGAATTAAGCTATTTCTTAATTTTGAACTAATTACTATGTAATTTGGTTTCGGTCGGTTCGTAAGAGTGTTCACGAACCGAATGCCCACCCCTAACAAAAAAAATCAGACAACAATATATTTCATTGAGAATTAAATTATCAAATGAAAAATCTAAACCACAAAACAAAACGACCAATTATTTTGATATCTAAATACTATGAAATATCCAACGAAAAATAATATCGTGCAATAACATTTGTTACAGAAAATGAGAGAACGCCAACATAAATTAGGTCAAATTATTTAAGAGATGAAGAGTTTCACTTGTTGGTAGTAACACTAGGGTTGAACTTCGACGTAGTATATGTTAAAAGGTAAGGGATTGTTTGTTAGTTTGATTTGAAAATTTTGAGTTTTGAAAAACTTTGAGTTTGTGATTGATTGTTTCATTGTTTATTTGAACGAGATAATTATTTGTTTAGTTGGTCTTTCATCACTAATTTGTATTTTCATAGATCATTCTATTCACCAGACAAATTTCTAAATAAAATGTGTGATTTATAAATCTGTAGTTACACATATTTGATTTAAAAAAAAGACAACCAAATATATGATGAGCCCCACAAATCTGGCTTCCCGTTTCCTCACCTTTAAGAAAATTCAAGGCTATGTGATGTATTACATCGAAGGGGAAGAGGTTAATCACACGGTACAATGAGATAGGAATTGATGGATAAGGCTTGACAACAAGTATGAAAGAGATGTGCTAATTTTAATTTAAGATTATCACAACCAAAGGGTTGGACTTTTATGAAAACTGAAATTTACATCACAATGTTTCTGAAATGATAAGTTGACCATTAGAATTGTTAAATTCCATCAAATTTGACCCAAATTGTGCACATGCTGCTAATACAACACAATTCCTCCACCGGTAGTTTCTCACTATAGTCTGTAGCTAACACCGATTGAGTTCGTGGACGTTTTGTAACCCTAATTTTGGTCGGAGATTAGGGCTTATTAAGATGACGTTTTGCGCACAATATGCCTTATAATGAGCAAGCCGTGATTGTATATCAAAAGACCAAAGCTGATATTTTTGGTTCCATTTGTGGTACTATTTTGGTAAATCAAGTTAAAACTTATTTCCAGTGCTGTCAAAGCCGCCACCCGGCCGTAAAACCGGCTCGGATCAGCTATTTAACCGCCACGGTTTTATACAGGCGCCGGCGAGCCGCCGAAGCGGTTAACCGCTGGAGCCGCTCAAGTCGGTCGCGCGGTTCGGCCGTTTGGTTTACCCTAAAAAAAATTTAGAAAAGGCCAATCGTGGAATCGACCGTCAACACCTCTTCTCCCGGCATCGGCGCTTCCTGACGGCATCGCCATCCCCAGTCGCCTTCGCATCGCCAGTCCTTGTTGTAGCAAGCAGCTCCCCGCTCCCGGCGCTTCCATCCCGTCGCCACCGTCGCAAGCAGCTCCCCGCTAAACTGCCCTGTCTCACCAGAGGCTTGGATTGAATCCGAGCCATTTCGCGGATTGGGACGAGGAAGAGCATTTACGGGTTAAGAAAGGATGAGGAAGAATTGAATGTGGTGATGGATTTTTGAGGAATTGCAGAAGGCTATAGTGGCTGAAAAATGAAAATAGGTGCGGCGGTGGAAGAGGAGGAAGGAGAGAGGGAGGGGGGATGGGGAAGCGGAAGGAAGGAAGGAGAGTGATGGGTGGGGAAGCGGCGCTGTCGCTTAGGATTAGGTTAGAGTTTTTTTTAGTTGCTGTATATATATGTTGTGTAGAATTATTAAATGGTACCTGTAATTATCATTTTTACTCATTAAATCATTGAATTATTACTTTATGTGTGTTCTACTATGATATTATATTGTTTATAATGTACCGGTTCTCAAACGGTTTTTAAACGGTCTAATGCCGGCTGGATCACTAATGACCGAGCCGTTCACGTTACCGGGTCATACTCCGACTCGGCTTTGACAGCATTGCTTATTTTCGTTGATATTTTTGTTATTAAAAAATCATTTTGTCTAAGGGATGGATAGGTCTTAAATTTAAATTCATAATATGATCAATATCCTGATGCTCACATTTTCACTAGACTAGTCAATTGAAATTTTTAACAAGTAACAGGAGAAATTCGTAGTGGTTAGTTCGTACCCAGAGCTCCATCTCTACGCACGGCGAGAAGTAAGAACAATCACCACCAACCCATTCTCACAGACAAAGCCCACATATTTAACCTAAGAAAGAAGTCCACGATAACATCCTGATAAGCCTGGATAGCCCACCTAACTCGCTAGGAAAGCTTAGCAGGCCCATGAGGCGATTAAAGTGCTTTGCAGGCCTAGTCACTGAACGAGTCCAAGCCCATTTTCTTACAGGCCCTCTGTCTCACTGCCAAAATAGAATGTCAAATCCAGGATTTCTGCCCTTAACTAGTTAACTTGCATATAGTAATAGAGTTAGCAAAATCACGATCTAATTACTAACCCATTCATTAAATATATATTTTTATGAATTGGGTTCCACTTTCCGGTACAAAATTTCACATGGTCCCACCTGAAAAATTATGCATGCAAAACCACGGTCGTATCACCATATTGTAATGCGATCGAGTTTTGCAGGACGAGATTTTTTACTCAATCCGCTATCGGGTTTTGAAGGACGAGATTTTTTACTCAATCCGCTGCTTTTTTTTTATAAGTTGGTTAAGATGAATTCCAATGAACTCATGAAATAATTCCCATAAATGAATAAAAACAAGTTGTGTCAATTTTCCACGATTAATTAAACAAACAAGATCTTTTCTCTCTCTTCAAAATAAGAGATCGAAATAACACTTCTTTAAAATCACAACTTTAGACTGTCAAAATTAATTAAAACATAACACTAGTTTTTATCATATATGAAATAATAATAGTTAATCACAAACTGTTGGGAGTATGGCTCGGGTCTAGTCGCGCCAAGGAAGCAGCCTGAAAACCATCCCAGAAGAACCAAGCGCGCTAGCGCCACCACGCCCAAAGCTTGAAGCAACTCGCTGAGAAACCACGTCCGCGGAGAAGGTTGCACTCGCGGATGGGGTTCCGCGAGGTCAGAACGCGCCACAAGAGCCAAGACTCCAAACGACACCGTTTTGCTCGAAACTTAGGCTGGATTAAGAAGCCAAGAAACGACATTGTATCTCCTGAAGAGTGGTCACATCCTAGTACTAGGCATAATCATGGGCAGTGTCTAGCCTTAGATAGAGGTATGGTCTAAGACAGGGTCTAAATGCTTGACAAGTCATTAGTCATGTCGCATTAAATACTCACCCACCACAATGTAGCTTATAAATACGGCATTTACTCCGGTGGGTGAGGGGGTGGCATTTTGACACTCTCACTCTACAAAGACGAACTCTCTCTCTAAGAAATCCCCTCTGTCCGACGATAGCTGTTTGTAACCTTGTTTCGACTAAAGAAAGGAAGACCCTATTGCTTACTCTTCTCACCCCTCTTTCACCCGAGTCTCCCTTCTACTCTCAGTTAGACTCAAACACAAACTATTTTTAAACTACAGTTTTAGTCTTTTAGACTTTCGTGCCCTAATGGTCGGTTACCTGTGGACCAAAAGTTGTTCCCAAACCCCCAAGAAAACAACACAAAGAGAGTCAAACTATAATTGACAAAGATCCAGGGCAACCCATCATCCCCTCATCCAAGTGTTATCTTTGCAACAACGCTAAGTATCGACTAATCTGCTAAAGAAAACAGAGATGGGAGTGGACCACAGCCCAACAGCAATGGATAAGCATTTGCTGCAGATTGGATGGGAACTGGTATGAAAGTCACATCTGGCAACTGGATCATCATCCAAAGAACCGAGTGCCGTGGAGGAGGAGGAGAAGAAGAAGGTGTACTTTACTCACGTAAAGTCGTAAACCCATCTCATACACCCATGCCCATTGAAAATTCTTTTGCTTGCTCATCACATGGCAACTAACTATTTATAAAACGAAATTAGACACTCCATTTTTTTCACGATTTTCAGAATTAGGATCGTTCCGCTCGATTAAGATGTGTCACTTTAATGCATGCGAAACATACGAAGAAAGAAGAGCACGGGAGTTTGCCTACTCAAGACCTACAAACAGTCGGTACCAATCGTCCAATTATACAAAAAGAGTGATGAGTCTCCCATCATTGCGAATTATTGATTGGTTAATATGCAGTTCATATGAAAAGGTTTACCAAAATTATGTACATCTGAATTTTGATATTCATCGTCACGTTTGAGTTATTATGAAAATCGGTTGCTGAAACAACATTCAGAGCTTAAATTTCTGCTCCATGCTTCAAAATTTGGATTGTCCAAGAATTCACCGACAATTTAGATATATAACATAAGACGATCACAAGAAATCGAAATATCACCACTATATTGTTGTTAAACCGTCCTAACCGTACTTATTAGAGCAAAGCAAACATCGTTTATGACTGCTCTGGAAAATACATATATGGCCTCGGGTAAAAAAACAAGGCCTATATACTTTTACTGCCCGGTAAATTGTGAAAAATGTACCCTCTCGCCTGACCACCAACACACACCAATAATGCAACGAAGAGAAATTGAACTTTCCCCTGCATCTCATCCTCGCTACTCTGCCACCAAAAATCAACCCCAATCCCAAGTCCCAACCTTTCTAATTACCCTGCATCTCTCTCTCACAATGGCGATCATCAGTTAGCCAAAACCTCCCAAATCAGTTCCAAATCATAAGACGGCATTCTCGCCAGTGAACATCCACCGTCCATTACCATCTCCTCCTCCTCCGGCGCCATCACCGCATACTCTGTTCCCGCCGTCGCCGTCGACGTCGTCGACGAATACGACGGCGAAGGCGACGGAGACAGCGAGTTCGGCTCTTCCTTCGGCCTCGCACTTCTTCCACTCTCCCGGCCTTCCCCTGAAGCAGCAGAAGAAGAATTGCTGCTGCTGCTATTCCCGTTGGCTTTCTTCGCGGCGATCTTCTTAGCTCGCTCCCTCTTCAATTTCTGACAGATGGCCTGAATCTTGGCATCCACGGAGGTCTTTAGGGAATTCAATTTCGCCGAATCGATAAGCCCCAATTTGATCGGGTCGTCGACATTGGGGAAATTCAATCGCGCGTACTCTCCCCTGAGCTTGTAGGCGGCGCGGTCGTAAGCGTAGGCGGCGGCCTCGGCGGTGTCGTAGGTGCCGAGCCAGACGCGCATCCTGTTCTGCGGGAGACGAATCTCGGCGACCCATTTCCCCCAGTGCCTCTGTCTCACACCTCTGTACAGCTTCGTCGCCTTCGCCGCCGCCGCGGGGAACGGCGGATTGCTCCTCTGGAGTAAAAACGAGCTCTGGAGGGAGTAATTGTTCGAACCGAAGATGGTGTTGGCAGTGGCGGTGGTGGTGGGTCTGTTTTGTTCGATGAATTTCTGGAGAAGCTCTCTCTGGTGGAGGTAGACGGAGGAACCGAGCGGCTCTGTTTTGGCCGGCGGTGATGGGTTGTGATGACTGCAGAGGGAGAAGATGGAATCGAGAGTGTTGGAGCCTGCGCCGCCCATTAGTATGAGCTGGGAGAGGGAGGTGCCGATGTCGGTATCGGTGGAGAAGGAGTAATTGTTGTTGCCTTGGAGAGCTTCCATGGCTGGGCGATGAAACGAGTTAATGGGGGAAAAAACAGGGGACGGAGTTGAAACAGAGAGAAGGGGATTTGGAAGGGAACGAGGACTTGCAAAAAAAATTGTCCTGTGTTCGTTTCCTATTGGATGGGCAAGTGGCAAAATGGTGGGTTTTGAAGGAAGGCGATGGAGGAGGAGAAAAGAGCTTTGAGTTTTAGCTCTGAGAGGATTTGATGTTAGGGGTTGAGGAGGATGGGAATGGTGATGAGTGAAGATGGAGAGGAAGAAGTGTGTAGTTGGTGTGTATTTATAGATGGGGTAGTAAATGAATCTGTTGATGTGTTCTGTACTTCTGTTGCTGTAAAATTTCTCTATTGTCCCCCAATTTTCTGTTCTAGTCTTCTAGATAAATGAGGTGCGCGACTTCAAGATTCGATTGCTCTAATTAGTAAAGCAATGAGTAACGATAGGTAATGATTGTGGTAATATGATGCATCTTTGAGTTTGAATATATGGTTGTGTCGATGTAATTTGTAAACTTAATTTGTATATTTTAATGATTAATAAGTGATATGTATACCGTATTATAAAATATAAATTTCATTTGTTTCCAGTTTATCTTTCTTTCTTCACCATTTGCAAACGAAAAGAATGTATTGTATGTTCTCAAAATTGAAGGTAAACCATGAATCCAACTTCTTAATATTTTAACTTAAAAGAACAATACTTGAAGAAATAGATGTTCAAATTATAATTTTTTATTTTAATATCCCGCCAAATCCAAGGCAAGACTAACCTAACTGCCAGAATGGTTAGCGTTGCAACGGGAAGAATTTTTGCACATTTTAACCAACTGTTAAGCGAATATAAGGTATTAAGGTGGCTTCATCTTTTCTTCATTAATAGTATTTTGTGTTCGTTAATAGTCTATTAATAAAGGAATTCACATTTAGAAAAAGCCCTGCTATTAAAGGGTGTAAGTTGTTTGACTTTTTTCTATATTGAGTTTTCTCATACAAGTGGTTCGAAGGAAAAATCGTCTATCGTAGTCTAAATTGGTAGATAATTTATAACGAGATGAAAAGTTGAAACACGATTTCAGCATAAAACCGTATGTCGTATAAGATTCATTATGGAAATTCTCTCAACAATTCGAGTTATTGGGATCAGCTGGTTCTTAACACGTAAGAAGTAGTGGCCTCTTCTTTTTGGTTATGGTATGGAAGGGGGAAAATGAATGAATGGGATTGGCAAATGGCAATGGCAGGAATTGGTTGCTGGTGAGAGGGAGAGAGGGCTAAAAGACTACTTTTGAGATTAAATGCAAGCAGGGTAAGGTGGGGGAGTGCTATCGCTGAAGAGGTCAAATGGAAGGAAGAAGAGAGAGAGCAGCGTTGTGGAAGTGTGTTGTTGGCGATGGCCACAAAGTCCATACATTCATTAACTCCATTTCCCTCTTTCCCCCCTGCCACGCGTCTCTTACTCCGCAGCGACACTCCTCCGCCTACAGTTGTCCTACTTGTTATTTCTTCCCGGCCCGCTCGATTCGGCCCGTCGGTCCATGGCGCCATACGCGCTCCGCTCCTTGCTCGGCTTCCAATCCAAACCCTAACTATTAAACATCTCGGCGAGGGAAACAAATTCTTGTGTTGCTTTAGATTGAAGGGGAATTTTGATGGACGGATCGAATTTGAGTTATGTACTCTTATTAGTTGGGTTTAAAAATCACTATACCTGTCGTTTTATTGGATGTTTGTGAATTTTATGATCGCCTTACATGTAGATATATCAGGTCAGTTTGTATCCATAGAAGGGGAAAAAGTAGAGTTTTATTCTCACCCTTCCTCTTTCTTCTTGATCAACCTATTGTGTTTTTCTTCGAGAATATAAGCAAGCTAGATTTGGGTGGCATGGAATATACATGGTGCATGATCGATTAAAAAAGATAAAGAAAAAGTATCTAATCTCAATCATAGGATATAACTTAGGCTGATGATATGCTTCAATTCGGTTGACCGTTTATGAAAATCGTTAGAAGTAAAATCCAAATCAGGTAATCATCCAAAACAAAAATCAAAATCTTTAAAAGAATTTATTAGTTTTTACCTGTTAGGGAAATAAAAATCTATGAAACCAGTTAGTTTCGCTATTATTCAAAACCGAACCTCCATCCCTAAGCATTAGATATAAATAACCCAACTAAAATATGAGAGATCAGATTTAATTTTACTCTGCTACATAACACCTATGAGTGAATGTCATGCACCCAACCCTAGCTAAGCTAGCACCCGTACGTGTATCAATATGGTTTTCCAATGGACGAAGGAAATTGCTTCGATCTGGAAATTTGATCCAGAAATAGGCCAGTGCTATGCTATGCTAGAGTTTATTGTTATGTCTACAACTAAGCAGCTAGCTTATATGATTGTTGTGGCATGCAAGCAATAAAGATGAAATGATTGTAACACAAAAGGAGATGGAGGCAAGGCATGTGTCGATGATTGGCAGCTAGGCGTATATGAATCCAGGAAAAGGATTAATTGGAAACCAATAACACTAGCTAGTACCGATCGATCTAGAAGGTCGGCCAAGAATTTCAAAGGATTTGTACTCTCCCCAATACCAAATCTAGATTATGGACACTTGTGCCAAAGTACGTACGTGGGAAAATCGTCTACAGATTCGTACACTCTCTTCACCATTGACTTCCTCTCCAGTGGTAGCAAGCAAGCTCGCGATTAGACATTTAAGTTTCACTTATTTGATCCGGCATCCTACTTATCTCCCCATCGTCCTTTCCATTGTTTTCTCCATTTGGATCATACTTAATTACAAGCTCGTTTTTCTTTACCCATATTCACTCGTACTCACTATGGGTGAATTGCATGTGCTATGTGTGAGATGATGCATTCACATTGACATTTCATACAACACCAACCACGCAAAGTATTAGAATAACCGCGAGCTTATTTGTCCAAATTTGAATTTTATATGTTTAATATCACATTCGTGCGCATACGATATGCGTCATTATTGATTTCAATGCTTAGACCAATATTTTGTGAATATTCACAAGTCATATACAATGTTTTTTTTTTTTTTGGTATATCATACACAAGAGGGAGAATCAACAAAAAAAATATAATAAAAGAACTCACATGTTTATGTGGTACACAAATATTATGTATGTTCAATATATAGTTGCCGGGCAGAAACCAATTTTACTTTTATTAGGAGAGTAAAAATTCGAGATTAGTCATATTAGCACCTTCTGAAAATCGTAAAAGGAAATGACAAACACATTTTCTAGTCCATAAAAAAAATTACAAACGGGGTAAGAAAATAAAAACATAAGTGTAAAAGCCAATACACATTTTTTAATTACCATGATTTTGGAATCAAACCACCTTCCTCTCCAACCTTTTCTGCCAACAAAATTTTCTAACCTGAACTCGTTCACAGATTCACTAGGTATGAGATTAGCCCATTCTTTCTTGGCTAATAATCCCACAAAATGACAAAACCCCATCAAAATTTTGACAAGCTCCATGAGCCATGAACAGAAGCTGGCTAGCCATATTTGTCCAAGTGGGGGGCAAATGAAAAAGGAGAAGAAAAAAAAAAGTGAGACCAAGTCGCAAGACAAGAGAGACACGATTGAGCCACAGAAAGATTAGGGTGTGGGACTGGCATGGCAGAGACACCTACTCTTTCAAAATCCTCTACCAAATGGGTCCGCTCTCCATCATCATCCAAAAACTAAGCCCTCCAGCCTCCAGAAAATGGCTTGAATTTACATTCCCAACCTCCAGCTTCCACGATTCTCCACTAACATCTTAATTGGACAAGGGCCAATTCTATGCCAGCGATGGGGTAAAAAGTGGGTTACTGCCATTTACCAGTTACCACCGCTATACAATTTCACAGTTACTTAACATTTTTTTTTAATAATTTGTTAGTTCTTAACATAGAATATGAGTCTTCTGTAATTTAGAGTTCATTTATCCGATTTTTTATAACCTTATTTGTTAAACACATAGTATTCTTATGTACGTGTATGCTTTCGCTTCCCTCCTTGCTTCTCTTTTCTAACGAGTTTGTTCGACTAGACTTCAATCAAACATGCCATTGTAAGATTAAATAACAATAACAAATCTAACTAGACTGCACATTTAGTATTTGCTTAGTCTGGAATTGATGTATGCTACCGTGCATTGGAATGAAAATTTTACTCTCTGCGTATAATGGTTGACGTGTGCATAAAAAGTGAGCAAAAAATATCCCCATCAACAATAAGTAACTATAGTAACGAGAAAATAACCACTTCACTCGCTAAAGCTGTCTCGTTCCTACCAACTAAAGACGAAATTAAGCTCGACTCGCGACAATTCTTTTACTCTATTTCAACATCTCGACTTCAATATAAGCATGCCAGTAAAATTCCCCTATGATTGTCGTATCTATCTTCCTCCCTTTTGTGTAATTGTATCCCTTCCCCTTTCAACTTTGTTCACAACTTGCTGGCTCATTGCAAATTTCCAAAAAACAAAGGAGGAAAGAAAACGAAGAGGGAGAGAGAGAGAGATCCAAATGGAAACAGTGTTGCTTGTGAAAGGACAGAGAGGAACCACCGGCAACACCCCACATCCAAAGACTTTAAACCCTAAAGATCTTTTTCCGCCAAAGGATAGATAGGAGAGAAAGGAGGGGATGGCCTTCTTTTTCCACTCTCCTTCTTGCTACTTCTCTGTGTTTGTGCATGTGAATGCGCCGACCTAACTTTCACAATTCTCACAAACGAGTCAATCATTCGAGTAAGAAGGGCACTACCAATAGTCCAATACCATCCTCTCTTTCTCTTCATGATGTGTTAGGTCCTTCTTTTCCTCTTTCTTCACGTTAACTTAACTCTATTCCAGATTTTTTTCTTCTTTCGTTTACTCACAACTGGATCAAAATATCGCAGCCAGTTGTCCTCCCATCTTTTTTTGACTAATAGTGTAATTAGTTATGAGGAGATCATT